GCAGCATTGGATCCGCGTTTCGAAACAACCCGCCACGCCCTTACTCTTAAATAGCATCAACTAGACGCGTGTGTCTTTTAACTCTAATTACCACCTCGACATCTGCTTTTACGACGTTAGCTTGTCCATTAATTTCCATCTTTGAACAGATGCGTTTGTCTTTCCGCCTGCGCCAAACGATAAATCATAGCCAGCGAAAATATTTTTTCATGATCTCCGGTTTTAACATTTCCTCTTACATCCTCTTACATTATTTCTTACATCATTCATTTTTTTGTCATGTTCCAAATTCCTCGAAAGCCTTAATGATATAAAAAAAATTCTGCTCCGTAATTACGTAACAGTTACACGATCTATCGGAATCCATACTTTTTATATTCCGAGCTGGTAATATGAAAGATAAAAGTTATATGTTCGTCGCGAATCGAGGAGAAACGAGGAGAATCGAGAAGAATCGAGGTGGCAAACATCCCGTCTGCGTCAATTTTTGTTTTATAGGCAGCAAACATTTTTGTTCGATCGAAGAAGTGGTCCCTTGAATGGATCCACTTAACGAGCAATCGAGACCGCCCTTCCGCCCTCGAATACGGCGAAAGGAAGACTCTCGAAGCCCGGGCAACAATGGGTCCTCATCGTTCTCTCTTGTGATTCGATGTATGTTTGACGGACGTGAAGATGGCAAGCCTTTCTTTAATTTCGAGCGTCTGCATAGCGAAGCCTTTTTATAAAGTATCAATAAGATATCACCTGCTTAAGACATTAACCTCGAAACATTGACGCTATTCGACCAACGTCAGTAATATATATATATGATATCTATATCGTATATATAATCCCCTACATATCATAAATAGCGAAATAAACATAATTTGAAATTATGCATTACCTCACTTATCCATTAATCTAACAAATATCGAGCATTTAATTTTGAACACGATACAGGATGTATAATACGCACAATTATAACGATACTAATAATTATTGTCCATTGTATGAGAAAGAAATTACGATACAAAAAATTGATCGCAGTGAAAATACAGAACATAACATACATACATCATGATCGTGTTAGGTGGAGGATCCTGTTAAAAAAAGCGAGAATTTGTTCGAGTAACGAGACGAACGTTAGAACCAACGATCAGCCATGCCCACTGTTATAGAGAGCCGAAATATGTCCATATTTCATTCCAGGCGTTCACCCTGTCCCGGCGTGAATTTATTAAACAGCTCTTAATGTGTTGCGCCTAGTAACGTGAAATAAACGAGCACGGTCAGCTACTCGATACCCGTTCAAACGCCCACGCGTGCTGCTCGCCTCTTCTCGAACGAATGCTTCGTCAACTTCGAAAGGACGACGATGACGACGAGACGTAACGAAGTGAGATATCCAAGATAGACCGAGCAAGATTAGTGCTATCCTCCAGCCATCGTCATTTTTTATCCCATAAGACGCGATAACGCTATGTCGCAAGAAATACAGCAGCCACGATTAAGTAATCCGCCCACCCTTAATTTAAATCCATTCTCTGTTCCTTCGTAATAATGTAACAAAAACATTACGTTGATTTTTTAATTTCTCATTAAATTATCGATTTAAATGAGAGGAAAGAGATATAAAATACAGATAAAATTTACCACAATAAAAAATATTAATATATCTACCACAATACGATATAAAATATGTTCGATTAATTTTACTATGTATATATTAATATTTTTTATTGTGATAAATATTTTTAATCAGAGAAATTCTTCCAATATCATACTATCTCACGAATACCATGATTTTCAGTAAATTCTGAGAAAATTCTCTTCGTATGTAAGTAACAAAATTTTGTTTTAAAATAAAAAATAAATAAAATAAAATGATAAAATCAAAGGGGAATACCGAATCATCTCTAGCGACGAAAGAGTCAATTTTGTTCGCACATATGTGTGAGCTGTTCAAAAGTGGTAAACCGATAAGATCTGTGCATTTAGTGAACAGGACATAATGAAGAGGCACGCTCGTTGACATTCCGATGTTTTCGATAGTCGCGCATCAAGATTGCCTTCTTTTAGTGCCTGGACACAAAGGACACTCCTCCTGCACGTCTATCCCGGTATATTGACGCAGCGTTATCGATCGATGCGCTCGAACATTCAATGTCACGGGGTTACGATTCTCCCGCTTTTAGGACGTGAGAGATTGTGAATCGTGACGGTTAGATTGATCCCCGAGCAATGACAATAGCCCCGGTAATCCTGCGCAAGCTTATCGTGCTTTCTATCGTGCTACAGACATCTGTAATTTATTTCTTGCACGCACTTCTTAAGACGCATCGAGGCTACTTAAGTCATTAGAAATAATTAAATTTCCAGGAAAAACGTACGAATATCTAGTCGTTTCATCGTATATACATATATTATCTTTACAAAACTAGGACGGAACTCGCTTTTTATCCTTGCTACTAAGCTCTAATCATCGCGCCACATCGTATACTGATTGAAATACAATTTCTTTCTGTTTTTGCCCTCCCGAATCGAGTTTATGTAATTAGGAGGAAACGCGTAAAAAGGCGAGCCTTGAGAGTGAGAGAAAGAGAGTGTGTACGTGCGTGTGTCGCCGAAAGAGAGCATAAATCCCTCGTTTACAATGCCAGTCTGCTCGGCACACGTGTCCACGCGAGTGAACTTTGCCGCGCGGATGAATGAAACTCTTTGACGAACGCGTTCTGCTCGGTCGGAGGAAGGCAGGCGGACGCTTGTCTGGCCTCCCGTTCTGGGTTATCGTCGTCACGGTGCCGGTTGTCGTCGTTGGTGTTCCCGGCTTCTCGCAGAGAGCAACGGTACCGCCGTAAACAGTAGATCCGATTATTAACGCGCCTCGCGCCTCGCACAGATTTCTACACCACCACCATTTTCCGGCATTGATTAAGCATTCGCGTGTGTCAGTCGCGAAGAAAACAGGAGATTATCGTTAACTTGGAAGCCAAAGAAAAGATGCACAGAATTTTCTCTTAGTATTTACCCTATAAAAATCATGATAATCAAGGGACATTATGGTATTACAAAAATTTTATGAGTTTCTCTGATGGCAATAAAAAATATTAATATCTAAGTACCACAATAAGATATAAAATATGTTCGATTAATTTTACTATGTACATAATAATATTTTTTATTGTGGTAAATATTAATCAGAGAAACTGTTATAAAATTCTTGCAATACCTTATCGTCCCACGATTACCATGTTTTTCAGGGTAATTCCAAGAGAAAATTCTCTCCGTGTAATTTATATTGTATTGTAAAATATTTACTCAGAGTCGTTGAATGACATTGGCATTTCATACATCACACACCTGTACAAGACCAAGACACGTTGTTAGTTACGAGAAGATAAGGACTCTAATCATCGCGTATATCGATCGAATATTCAGAACCATTCTCGAGAGACCTAAAGCTCTCTCGTCGCAGTGCATAATCCCGGCACTGAAGAACGCAACGCAGCGCAGCGCAGCGTTAATGAACAAGCAACGCAACGCACTGCTGCGAATGAAAGAGGAAGAGAGAAAGAAATACAACGGCGCAGCATCTTTTATTCATTTCACGACAAGGAGCGAACATCGGCAGCCAGCGCGCCCGCCGTAACATAACGTGGCTGCCCACGTGCGTCTCGCCACATATTGCATTTCCGGTTCGAGAAATGTTATAACGCCGCGGCTGGAATTCCCGCGTCTGCTATCGCGATTTCCTGTCTGTGATCTATACTGCTTCTTCTCCCTCCTGCCAAATTACGCCGCGTTTGTTTCTCCCGTATCATATCCGCGATTTATCGCGAGTCTTCCTCGCCGTTTTCTCGATTTTGGAATGAATTATCAACGCGAGACGTAAATTTCAGCAACAGCATACATTTTTTACAAGTTTTGTTAGTATGCCAAGGACGCGATACATATGTATTTTCGATTATATTGTACATTGAAATAACACATACAAGTAAGCGAGATTTGTTGAAATGCAAAATGCACCTTGGACATTTTTTTCAACTTACGGACGCATGTTTGCTTAATTATAACTTTGAACAGCGGCGACTTTGCAGCAACGATATGAAAAACCGTAATGACTTAGTCATGAATTGGCTCGTTACGTTTTTATATTCAATACTCTCTCTTCCTCTTTCTCTGACCCAATTTATTTTAACTGGCCTGATACATTCGATTACCCGAATTATGCACGGATATTCTGATCGAGCGATCCACGACCGGATCCATTAGTAATCTCAATCTCAACCACTGGTTTCTCCACCCACCGGAATACGCAGTTAAGCAAAAAAGACGATTTTGTCGCAGCATCGTCTTCACCATACCGAAGTAGGCGTCGATGAGATAAACGCAGGAAATCGTTAGAAATGATGGGACTAGATGCATTTCAACAATTTAACAATTTAACTACGATTTCAATCGAGAGAAAAGAAAATACGGCTGTTACACGGCTGATTTCTCGGAGAGGTTTAATGTATTCTGATTTGTTAGAAAAAGAAGAATAGATGTGCATCATAATAATTTTAAGTTAACTCTCAAGATAATCAATGCATGCATTTATCATTTATATGAAATTCAAATATAAGTATTCGATTTTAGATCATTTTTGTCGCAGATGTATGAATTACTTTAGTAAGTATACATCTAAAAAATATGACGCATCCGCATAATAATTTATGTTTAATACCACGTATGTACATTCAGTATTTTAAAAAATATAACACATAAATAGTATACATATATTATATAGTATGGTTAAAATAAAATATTGATGTATATGTAACTAAGTTGACGTTTCAGTATGTCTCAAAAGACATTTTCGTTTCTGGCCAAAACTATTTGTTTAAATTATCAAAAACTCTAAAATTATTGAAAATAAAAACAAAACTCTTATTTATCAGTTTTCACGAAATAGAAAAGATGCCATTTATACACCCCCATTACCGCTACAGAAATGTTATAAACAATTTCTCACTCACCGATCGGTGCAATGCGAAGTTCTAGTATACAGCAAATTGATCTGAAAACAAAATATTCAAATTATATATATACATATATATATGTGTGTGTGTGTGTGTGAGTGCATTTCTTTATTTTTATTTTGCATACCTCGCAGTTGTCCCGTTGTTGCCCGATGCCTTCCCGGGCCGCCTCCTCCTCCTTTCTTGGTCCTTAGCACTCACGACACTCGCGAAAATACGAATTACGATCGCCCGACACTTTACACGGCACTCCCGATACGCAATACTTTAGACGGCACTCCCAACGCGAATCGCACGCATATTTCGCGCATATTGCACAATATCTGTGAACAAATAAAATACATACATATGTTAAAATAATCTTATTATTTCGCATTTATAACATACATATATATATACCTATTGATTTTTGAAAGCTATTTTTATTGAAAGTAATTACAGCTTCAATATTTTATATCATATATTTATTACAACATACGTATAAATATTTTTTCTTTGCTAAACAAATATATTTTCTTTATGAATTGTTAAACAATTAATTTAGTATTCTGCATAAGAATATTTCACATCTGCATTACTGTTTCAAAGACGTTTATATATAATCGCTATTCGTTAACCGACGATGAGAAACGGCCGCCCGTGGTGCGTTGTATCCCTAATGCTTGGAATGGATTTCATGACGATAATTATTTCACGCACTTCCGCGGAAGGTTTTCGCTCGACTCGTATACGGGGCCGTATATTGTGACAGTTACGACGATCCTTAACGATCGGATTAATTTTTACGGCACCGTAGTGAAATGGAAGTACGCACATGCGCGCCGTTGAACCCCTTAGAGTCGTGAAACTTCGAGACGCCTTGAAACATCATGCAGCCACCTGGCTTTCATTTCGTTTTTATTATTCAGTTATTCCGCAAGAAAGTAGCCTACCTTCGACTATTGAATTATGTTGAATTATGTTGAATCTTTGATAAAAAAATGTGCGGTTTTATTGTAAGGTAAATCGCGTTATCTAAGTCGCTAGCCTACGAAATTATTGCTTGCTCGCGTTGTATGCGATTATGTACGAAATTTTAGTGCCTATCGCTAATTGTTTGATTTGTACTGTTAAATATTTAATTTTTGGATATCACACACATTTAAAATTGTTTTATTATTATTATTATTATTATTGAATAGATTTTTTTAGTTAAATTTGGAAATTTCCAATAATTGGCAGTATTTAAATGTTATATTGTACTTATATTAAGGCGGATTTCTTTAATTATTTATTTACAGAAAAGTATTTTTGAATATATTTTCTAACACGTTTTAGCAATAAAAAATAATGTATTTGTTTATATCTCGTATCTTTTATTCTCTCTTGTTTTCCTTTATCATCTCTTTATGATTTCAGTTATAGCGACACACATCTTTGTGTAACAGACAAAATTGCCGGCCGTGAGAAAGTTCACGTAAGATCGTCTGTGGGAGAGTTGACCAAAAAAATCTTCCCAACAGGTGCTGCCTCAGAGGAAAGGTCCAGCGAATCGACTCCCCCGTTAAACCCTCGAACGCAGCGAACCCTTAAGGAACCGCGCGATTCTCGATTCTCTATTCTCTTTAGAAAATCTAGATTTTGGGAAATTCTATATTATATACAGCGGTTCGTCAATGGCGCTTTGTTAGGCACAGAGTGACACGCGGCAACCCGAACGGCGCTTTGTTGTGCCCCGAAAGGATTTTCTTTTCTTCGTTGAACCTTGAAGCAGAAGGGGAAAGTCGACATCTACCTCCTGGTTAACCGGTTATTTGAAAATATTGATGCGCGATCGGATCTCGATCGATCCAAATATTGATCGGCTACGAGTGTTCTCGAAGAAACAATGATCCTCTAAAAGGATCTCATTAATATCAATTGCAAACCTCCTTTTGAACATTAAATTCTGTTTCATCTGTTTGAGATTATAAAAGAAAATTTATTTACATTTTGAAATAAAAATGAAATAAAGAATTTTTATTTATATAAATTACTTAACTTTTATATAAAAGAAATCATTTTTTAATATATGTACACTTATGTTTAAATAACTATTATTTTTTTCAATTTAGCTTTAGTTCCAAAGATTGACATATAGAATGCAGTTGTTCCAACAACCCCGATACGTTCTCATAAAATGTCCGTTTGACTCATTTCTGACATCATTGAATTTAGAGATGGACAGATGTGGCGCAAGAAGAGTTTTTCTTACCGAAAGCACCAAACCGTAAGGAGATCAATTCTTTTACAGTCTTAGGATCCTGAAACTCGTTTCGTCATCTTTCTCCACCTCCGCAATTCCCGCGACGCGTAAGCCCCCAATTTTCGCACAATAGAGAATCTCGAGAATCCTTATAAAAATTTGACGTACAATGGCGCCTTTGTCCGCACTCTTACCCCATCCGTTCGATTGAAAACAGACGATTTTTTTCCCTACACGATGCACCGATTCCTCGTGAAACGTCCAAAAATCGGGCAATGCTCGTGAAAAGGTTAAGACCTATTCTTCAAACATCGTGGCGTAACCATTCATCAAGGTCTTTTTTACGCGAACATATAGTCGTGAGTAGGTTCCAACGTATGTTACATTCGAGATAAAAAAAACTAGAGCGATTCAATACGAATAAAATATTTAAATGTACATGTAGTAAACTGTTAATTATAATATAGCAACAATTAAAAATTCTTTTTAAATTTTAATGCATGTGAAATTATACGACTTTAGTTTTCTTAATGCACATGGAATTATATGACGAAGAGAACGATAAAAAGAAATTATATTAGGAAAATAAAGCATGCAAATGTAGCAGTGAATGCGACACATTCAAGTGCCGACAATATAGACGCAACGGTGCAAAGTGTCGTTCGGAAGGACCGCCAATAGAATTTATAACCGAATAAAGCAGCTCGTAACTGTGACGTCCAAGGAGACTGTAAAGCACAATTTGCAACTTTTCTCTCCGTTTTATTATTCCGCGCGTTAGTACCGAGACGAAAAGACGACGAGGATCGTACACTCGCATTAAACAGAAGAGAGAAGAGACGCGAATACACATGCCCGATCGTATACCATTCGAATAAAAGCAGCTTTTATGATGTATAATCGCGTTATCACCTGTAAATAATTCGGAGACCAAGTGCAATAAAATCTCGCGAATAAAATTCCGTGAGACTCTGTTCAAAAGGCGGCGCGCGTCTTCTTTTTTCCACGGATTTAAATCGATTCATCCACCAGCGATCGTTAACGCGACACGAAACATACAAGACGTGGAGAAGCGTATCAAAAGCCGGACATGGAAATAAAAATTCGTACAGTGTCATTTTAAATATGCAGAAAGAATGTGTCTCTAATTTTTAAATACAAAAATTCGATTCATCACCTTCAAACACTTATTCATTATTAATTCAAAATAATAAATATCTTAATATTTAACGTTCTTTAAAAAAAAACATCTTTAAATATTTTTAATTTTAAATTTTTTTTTAGATAAAAAGAAAAGTATTCTTTTCAAAACCAGTTCGTACTTATATAGCCTCTAAATGTCTCATTGTGTTCATGGGACATAAATGGCACACCGGACGATTCCTCGCGACGAAAGCTTCACGTGCGTTATAAACTATCCCCTGTGCGACGAATTTGTAACGTTTTATTAGCGGAACGGGCAGCAGCGATATGGGTCCGCGATTGAGGAGAGCTACTTTGTGTGCTACTTTTAATAGGTTCAACTTTGTTCTCGCAAGCCTCCCTTTCCTCTCCTCTCCTCCGTTAGAGACGGTTATTCATTCGACAGAGATTTATGTTTAATGCTCATATACAGAAGGAAAGATACATATGGGGATGCCATCTTTATGATCAGTTCTGTTACAAAGTTGACTCTTTATGCCATGTCTCTAGTCGCGATTCACAAAGACGGGGTATAGAAGAGGGATGCTTCTAAAGGATCGCCTCTCTAACCACCGGTTTAATACTCATCGAGTACGCAGATATCTCACGCGACAACGATTCTCTCCACGAATAACGAATAATCGATATATGTATCAGCCACCGTATGATGAGCTAGAGTTTTCCTACTTGTGATAAAGTACAATTCGAAGCAATTGTATACGTCGAAATGATGCATTAATCGAATAAAAATTACAAATATGATTCTATATGTAAGAAAAAGTTATACAGATTTTTGTCTCATCTTTCATATATGTATATGATTTTAAAGATAATCGTTTAAAAAAATTATTCTGGCTGTCTTTAATATATGTATATATATTATTTTTAAAAAATGTGTCATTTTAAAAAAATTTAAAATCATATATATATATATATATAAACTATCTTAATCTTTAAAAATTTTTTTTTATATATATGCATATATATTAAAATATATTAAAGTTCTATATATTAAGCAACCATGGCGACTATATAAAATTATATCAACTGCTTTTTATTGATAGACAATCTGTCTACTTAAACTCAAATTCAGTCAAATCGTAGTAAAAATTGTAATAAAATAAATTCTTTTTTATCAATATATTATTTTTAAAGAGATGCAAAGTATTGCTACACAGAGGGAATTTTCTTTTAAAAATCCTGAAAATCATGGTAATCATGTAACAATATTGATATTGAAAGAATTTTATAAGAGTTTCTCTGTGGTTGATATTTACCACAATAAAAATATTAAAATCTACCACAATAAGATATAAAATATGTTCGATTTATCTTACTATACATATTAATATTTTTTTGTCATAAATATTACTCAGAGAAACTCATAAAATTCTTCACTGAAAAAAAATTATTAAATTAATAAATATGTATTTCAATACTTTAGTTGAAACAAATAAATATTTATCTATTTTGAAATGGATTTTCTTATATAAAATAAATATTTTTTCACATCAAATCAATATTATTAGTTTCAAATAAATGATTGATAAGGCAGCAGTATTGAAATAAATATTTATTCGAATTCAGTAATTTTTGTTCAGTGTTCTAATACCGTATTGTCCCATGATTACCATACGATTTTCAAGGTAAATTCTTTCCGTATACAAAAGTTTGGAGACTACTGTTGTGAAATTAATACACTATAACACACATGTGCAATTATTTCCCGTTTAAAATGGAGACGCGTGAGATCGAGTACGTCCGCGATGCACACGCGCGAGATCTCGCGCCTCGTACTCCGTAATTACGAACGATCCAGAGAATCCATTAGTGTTAATCCTACAGGTGTGAGAGCGTAAACGGCCGTCGATGTAATCGCCGCCGTGTACGGAACGTGGTCGAATTCAGAAAAAATTAATCCGATCAGATTAACTGGACCATTGTAATTACGTGCGAAGCGTTAACGCGGCAAGTGCTCCCATGAATAAGCGGTTTTCTCTTTCTCTTTATATCTCTTTGGTCTCTCTCTGATTTCTCTCTGGTCTCTTTGAGCCTGTTAAATCGCCGAATTAAATCGAGCCCGAATAAGAAAGAAATTACGAGCGCCAAACGCCTCCGTTTTAATTTTTAAAGAGTGCAAAGTTCTTTTACTATCTGTATACAATCTTTTTAATCTTAAAGCAATTTTTGTAATCAGAAATAAGGCAGCTGACCGCAATATCGATCTTGATTTTATATCGAAATTTTATATCGAACTCGTAAATTGAGAAGAGAATTTAGCGAATTTAGCGATTGGCTTTTTATGATATAATTTGAACCCTGTGAAGAAGAAACATCTTTGCGAGCGAGAAAGTCAAGCTCGCGAGTGAGAAAGATTTATGCCCAACGATTTATTTGGCGGTATTTTATTTATGAACCAGAAAAAATTGTATATCATGCATGTGTGTTCCTTTTTGTGATATACTTGCAGATTTTATGCGTTCGTCCAAGCGATAATTTTCTTTCGCGCCAGTTTTCTGTTCCACTAAATGCTCGAACCGTATTCTACTTTTCGTAAATTCTACAATCTGGACCACCGCCATCGGCGCCTTTTTTCTACTCGCACTTTATCATGTCGCTATCCCTTTTTTGCGTGAGAAAGAGTTCCCGTTTTTATGTTTAATCCGACGGGACCATGTCTCCAATTCTACATTCTCTTCGCCCGAATTTCGAAGAAAGTATTACGCTTTTCGATCAGTGATCGATCATCTCATCCCCCTTTCGTTCGTATAATAAAAAAGATCAACGATTCGAAACGCTCGTAAATAATGTTCGGCCGGATCTTCGCAACGCACCGATACGATTTTATTTTTAGGAACGTGCTCGCCGATTACACCGTCGAAATTAAGCCTAAACGACGCGCCCCGGATATCGCTTCGTTTGCGATAAACGAGAGTCGGTAACGAGAACAACACGCTTCTCTTAAGGATCTCCGGAACCTATCATCTTCTCGCGCCGCGCCGAGAGAGACTCGATCGTGCCACCCGATAATTGATACATACTTAACAAGGGTCGGCGCGAGAGCGTAATTAAGAACGTGCTGGCGAATTTATGGCGGCTCTTTGGGACGTATTATTAAATACAAACGATCGTTGCCGCGTACTTGCCGACATGACGAACGCAATTTCTCATAAGTCACGTTTATAAGATTGCAGAGAAGTCATATAAGAATCACATATATAGAAATTACATATATGTATATAAGTATCACCTAAAACACTTATGCATATAAATATCACATATATGAATGACTTAAATCAAATTTCAGAACGTATTCATAAAATTAAAGAACAATAAGCACATATATTTCGAATTTATTTAGAAATGAAAAACCATCATATATTGCGTGAAAAAGTTAAAAAGCCAGGCTATCGGATTAAGAATTCATGCTACTTGATGTACACTGTAAAAAAATATTACAAAATTACATGAACAATAAGTAAAAAATTACACAATAGAAATGCATAATAATTTTATTGTTTATTGTACACTTATTTTATAATTTATTAATTTTATACTTGTGTTTATATTCATGTGTATTCTCTTAATATTACATTCATTATAATTTAAAATTTTTTACTTTTAAGATGTGATAAATTTAGAAAAAATAAAAATTTTGATCAAATTCCAATATTTCTTCAACAAAATATACTGCTATATTATAAAATATATTCAAATATTTCTTCATCAGAATATGGCATAAATGTACAATATATAATATTATAAGACGAATTTTTAAATATTACAGATTGAACAATTATAATTGTCACTAACTCATTTGTCACTGACTAATTTTTTGGTGAGATTTCTGATTTGTTATAACAATTTTATACTTATAATCATTAGTTAACAATTTTATACTTATAATCATTAGACTATTCATTGCTTTTTACTAATACTTTCGTTTTAAAAACAATTATTATTTTACATATTTTTTTACAGTGTAGAAAATCAGATATTTTCTTCTCTTAAAGCCTTGTAGCATAAAAGAGAGAGCAAGAAATAAATTAAAGACTTAACTCACTATTAAAGAGGCGGAATTGCACTCGCTAGAACTTGCAGAAACGACGGGTAATCGATGTGTATCGCCAAATGTCTCCACCTCAGGATGAGAGAAACTGACGGACAAGGCGCCATCCCGAAGAGGTTTCTTCGAAGCGTGGCGAATCGCGGATCAAAAGTCTGGTCCGCGCACGTCTCATGGCCGAAGCAATAAATTCACGGATACGAATCGACGAGCCAACAAGAAAAATGACCGCAAAAGACGCCCTTTCTTCGATTCGCCATATATGGAAATGCAAATGCGCGATGCCGCTTTCTGCGTTTCTTATTCTTAATCCTGCGAAATAGATCCTGCCGATGCACGCATTACTTTACGGATGCGGATCCGCTTCGCGTGAAACCGACCTGCAAAGAGAAAAAGACAAATTAGACATAAATTCTTTGTTACGGATTTTCAGTATTTCACAGATTTTTATCTATCGTATAACATCAAACCATAAAAATTAGCGTGAAAAAAATAAATTTGCTTACCAGTCGATCCATCACAACTCTGTCGCTAGTCGTTTTATCGTTCCGAATGTTTTTTCACGGATACACGATCGGGAAACTACGACTAATCACTTTATATGCAGATCCGCCTCGCGTGAAAAACGATACTATTTCGTGGAACGACCTGCAAAGAGAAAAAGAGAAGTTAAACATCTCTGTGAGTGCAATTTTTTGTTACGGATTTTCAATGTTTCACAGATTTTTATCTATCGTATAACATCAAACCATCAAAATTAGCGTGAACAAATTGAATTTGCTTACCAGTCGATCCATCGCAACTCTTTGTCGCTGGCCGTTTTATATTGTTTCGAATATATTTTTTCTCGTGAACACACGAACCGATAGGGAAACTGCGACTAATCACTTTATATATGCAGATCCTCGCGTGAAAAACACTGTTTCTTGAAACGATCTGCAAAGAGAAAAGAAGAACATCCCTGTAAATATAATCCTTTGTTACGGATTTTCTCAATGTGCCAGATTTTTATTCATCGTATCATCAAATTTTGATAAAATCGCAAAAAATTGAGTTTGCTTACCGCAGTCGACGCACCGCAATTCTTTGTCGCTGACCGATTCCGCATGTTTCCTCGCGAACCGAAACTACGATTAATTAACGCGATAATCGTCCGTCACTTTATACACTTCCGCTTTTTATTATAAACGCAACAAACGGTGCCTGCGTACAGCCAAGTAGTAGGTTAGGGAGCGGTATAATGGGGGAAAGAGGAGGCTCGAACTTGCACGTACGTCGCCAATCCCCACCATACGATAACCGAGATCTCGGCGCTTTGTTATAAACGCGACGCGTAAATCGGATAATTAACGCGAGACGAAGCGCACTCACTTCCCGCGCAAACGAGTCGACGCCATATTAAATCATAGACATAGTATAGACATAGATATCGATCTATACATGAGACGAATTACTTGTTGAAAAAATATGCGGCGCCAATTTTATGCATGTAGCGCGCTGTTATCGATATATCGATTGCGCTCGACATCGATTACTCGACATAAAGTTGATAGTACGTCTAGCATTAACATTCGATATTTAGGCATTGAGAAGATTATTATTGCCGAAATAAGACTTTATTCCGTGAAACGACTTGCAGAGAGAAAAAAGAAATTAGATACGAATTCATACAAATGCGGCATATTGTTACAGATTTTCTATGTTTCAGATCTTTAACTATATCGCATGTGGAACAACATCAAATCATTGTGAATAAATTGAATTAGCTTACCAGTTGATGCAATTCTATGTCGCTGGCCGTTTCATCGTTCCGAATATTTTTTTCTCGCGGACTCGCGAACTGACCAAGAAGCTACGACTAATCTCGATTAATTAACGCTGAATGCGATAATCGCCCGTCACTTTATGTGACACTTCCAGCACTTTGTTTATAAATGCGACGTGTAAAACGGATAAATAACGCAAGACGAAACGCACTCACTTTCCGCGCGAACGAAACGACGCCATATTAAATCATAGATATTTAGTGCAAACATAGACTGCGCATATATAATCGCGCATGAAATCGATATCGATATATCGATTACGCTCGACATCGATAGGTATGTAACGCGCGTCCAACTTTAACACTCGATTATATATATATTTCATATTATTTACATTTTAAATACTTATACATATATATTTATGATCCTGCGAATTAATATTTCACTCTTTAACTGTTATTTATCTTTTTGACTTTTTCTATTTAGAAATACATATATATTATCTAACAATAATAATCAGATGCAACGGCATGTTTAAACTTTGTTCTCAATTAATCTTTAAACACACACAATTGTGGGTAAGTTATCATACTAGAAACTCCGAAGATAATTCAATGAATAATTGTTTCTAAAGAAATTTATATAGATGTCGCAAAATGTAATTGAAAAGCTCCACGTCTCTCTGCAATAAAATGCATCAGATATGTTTGTGCATAACCTCTCGGTAATTGTTCGTATCATTGACATATGGTCGTGAGAGAGTGAAACTCGAGAAAATTACAAATTACGGGATTATGGAGAAACATATAAAGTCTATTGAAAGAAATGGCAATTCACAATTGCTGGGTATACTGATCGCTGTGTTTGCTGTTATTATAACATTAGGTAATTATATATGTTTATTAGATTACTATAACATTACTACATTAAGTATATTTTTATATTTACATTTAGTATTTAAACATACATGATTGTTAAATATATTTCTATTGTGGTTACAAAGCATCTTTGGAGTTACTACAACTTTTTCTAATTCATGAAAAATAAATTCTTTTCTCTTTTTATTTGAACAAACTATGCATACTTTAGTCTTAAGAATAGTGTCGATTGAATTAATACAGGAGAAACATTCTTTTTGTTGTTTCATATATCTGTATATTTATATTATTTTTTTATATTTAACATTTGTTTGTTTAATTATAATATCTCTTAATTAATAATTATAATCAACATATATGATTTTGACAGTTTTGTTTGCACTTTGGCGCAAAAGAAAGTCTGCGGGTCATAGTATCCTTTTAACAGGTCTCAGTGACAGTGGAAAAACGTTGATCTATGCGAGATTGTTATGTTCTAAATTTGTCAAGACATATACATCTGTTAAGGAAAATGTAGGACATGTTGAAATCAACAATGTAAGCAATGTTCAATGAGAATATAAATCTGATTATATATTTGTTAAAATTGTTCTTATAAAAGCATTTATTTTAGAATTCCTTGAGACTAGTGGATATTCCTGGAGATGAGCGATTGCGCAACAAGTACTTTGACAAGTATAAATCATCTGCCAAAGGTTTGGTTTATGTGATTGATTCAGTGACTATTCAGAAGGAGATTAGAGATGTGGCTGAGTAAGTATAAATTTGACAAAATTGACTGAATATTATTGAATTGACATTTTGTATCAATTTGAAATAAATTTTTATGTCAAATAGTTCATAATTTTTTATTTTTCAGATATTTATACAATGTGTTATCGGATTCTAATATACAAAGAAATGTTCCCATCCTTATATTATGTAATAAACAGGATCAAACTATGGCTAAGGGATGCGCAGTGATAAGAACATTATTAGAAAAAGAAATAAATCTGCTGCGAATGACAAAGACGAGTCAGTTAGAAGCCACAGATGCGTCTTCAACCAATGTCTTCCTGGGGAAACAAGGAAAAGATTTCGAATTTTCACATTTAGACTCTGATATTGATTTTGCAGAATCATATGCATTTAATAAAGATTCTCAAACATCAGCTGATATCGAGGAATTTAACAAGTGGTTACATAAGATTGCATAATAATGTATACTAGATTTTGTTAAATATAAATTATTCCTTTGTAAATAGGTTTTTTTCATTATATCTTTTCAAAAGAAAAATCTATTTTATCAAAATATGACCGATCAATGATATGTTTGAATCGGTCAAAAAGTTACTGATGCCGCCATCTGGCTCGATCGCTGTGCGAAGTCTCGCATATGTATAAAAGTCGTACGCGGTGAGATTTTGCCGCCTGGTTTTCCGGTACGATTATAGGTTATCATCTGTTATCATCCTATATCGTGTTGTTTGATTATTTTTGTGCGTCGATGGTCCCTGTCGATGCTTCAAGGCATTATCGCCTTTATTTGCAATCAAATTCAACATCTGGTAAAACCAGTCCTCGGGGATATACAATAACCAAGAATCGGTTTTGAGTCTTTCTTGCTAGCATCGACGCTGAACGGTTCTTTTTGGAACAGACGGTAGTAATTTAGGCCAACATTGGCAATTAAATCCATATATTCTGTAAAATTTATTATACTAATAATTAAAGTTCCATTAAATGCATTGGAAAATCCTTTATTCACATATCAGACAATCTTCATTATTTGTTTAGTCTTATTTTTTCTTATACATATGTGTGTGTGTGTGTATGTGCGTGCATACACACACATATATGTATGAATTATAAATTTATTAATTATATGCAAAAGAAAGTTTTTATATCTGTTCTGACAAGCATCTGTGTCTTTTGACAATGTTTTAGATTTCTATACATTGCATTTGGAGCAAATCTATTAAGTTAAGTAATTACATTTCTTGCATTTGATTTTATATCAACAGCTACAGACAAAATGCCAAGACCAAGAGTATATACACGCTCTGTTTTAACCAAACGTCCACTCCATATGACATTAAACTTAGAATGTACAGAAGAACCTCTGAGCGAAGCACAGTTAACATCAAGAACAAAACACAAAGAGGATTATACTAGGGTAGATACATTTGCTTTATCTTTTTTAGATGTATATATATTATGTATTGTATATGTTATGAACTTTTTTGTCAGGTGACAGCAATTTTAGAAGAACTAGTTAAAGATCATGGCGGTAAATTGGTCTGTCAAGCAGGTGTTGTCAGTGGTTATCAGTACACATTGTAAGTATAAAATTATAAGAATGTAAAAGTGTAGTATTAAATATATTTAACTATATTCTATATTAACATTTGTAGACCTACAAATCCAACAACAACCCCGGCAGTAATGCCAAATAATCCTCAGATATTAAATGTTGTAAGTATTTCACTAGAATTTATATTATTTGAAATATAATTAAAAAATTATATGTTTTCTTTATATATATATTTGTTTTTATTTTTAGACCCAGCAAAACAAAAACACAGCACCAATCAAACTAAATATCAGTAATCCAACTGGATCTCAAGGGAATATTCAATTAGTAGTTGATCCACGTATGGGAGGTATTATAGGAGGTATTGTAGGACCTGTTACACAAACCCAAGGTTTCAAACTGCTTAAATAATTATATCTAAGGTTGATGGAAATTATTTTATATACATAAGATTTTTTTCAGGAACAACCACTACAACTACATCTGTGGTTTCAACAACTGCACCTCAACAAGAAAATGTATTGTCAATTTTATTTGTATATTACTTTTTTTTTTTATTAAATCTAAGTTTTTATTAAAAGACTAATTATATACTAATTTTCTTTAGTACAAGTATACCAGGTCTGGGAGAAGAACAAAAGTTCTTCAAACACAACAGCCTGATATTATAGAAGAGGTATTTTTATGAATTGAAGAAATAGTCCTCTCTACATTTTCTGTTTTATAATTAATGAATATATGAGTACTATACTTTCTTATAGCCTGCATCCACAGTTACTCGTTCGAGACCAAAGACTGGATCAGCAACGCATGTGGTTACATCAGGTAAAAATAAAATTTACATTTTAAATTAATATATCATATTTATATAAAGATAATTAAGATAAAGGATTCAAATAATTAACAAAATATTAATATTGATTCCTCAGCTACTATCCCACAAAATACGACAAGTCTTAGGATAAAAGCTATCAATAAACAACAGACAGTAAGTCAATCAACTTTCAAACCTACTGAGCAAACTAGTGTAGGAGGAATATCTGTTGGCTATAATACAGGTAAAAATAAAATATTCTGTGATGTTAATACATTAATTAATTTTACTCATTATTGAATATATTATAGGCAATGAACAAATTGATGAAGCCAAAAAGAATCAACCTGATGGCAGAGAATTTACATTTAACAAAACAACCGGTGGTCGAACTTTTCCATCTTTAGTAGTAGTAGCAAGGCCGAATTTACGTAGCAAAGATATCGGATCACAAATTGCACAAAAAGAAAGACAAGCATTAGGTATGAAAACTTTATCTTTACCACTATATAATGTTACAATATTAAATACAGTTGTAACAATTAATGACATTTTTCAGATGCCAAAGTTAAAAGCGTGCTCATGTTTTCTGCTACGAAATTCGCTGAATGGTTAATACAACAGGGTTTAATAAGATCGGAACAATATTGTTCGCAACACAGCTCAAATTATCAACGGACTAAACTTAAATTGGGAATGTACAGTGATCAAGGAACATTTCCTTATTCGGGTGGTTATGTTTGGATATCTAGTTGTTGTCCTGATAAATTTGTCTCTGTTTTTTCTGGTTCTCTCTTTCAAGGGGCTCCTTATACACCTACAGTCCTGTTAAAATTGATTTATCATTGGGCGTGTCAGACTAACGTGCAAAACGTAATTTCCTGGGTGAAAGTGTCTAATTTATATTTGAAAAATTTTTATACGAATTTACGTAGTGTATGTACATCAACAGTATGGGATAAGAGTCGTAAAATGGGCGGTAAAAATTCGGTGATACAGATTGGCGTAATAAGTTTGGGTACTACATCGCAAGATGGACATATGCGACAGGTGAAATATCTTGACAATTTGACGTTTTACTAGAAAGAAGATCATTTTATGTAATTCAGTTCTCATATTTAGGTCAAAGTCGAGGTTCTCGGTGTTTTTGATCCAACTACATTGGACATACGATTGCGCGCTTGTGAACCGATGCAAAACGGAGATAGATCATTCAAAAGACGGTTTAATAATATCTTACACCCATTGAAAGACTGGGTTCATACAGATTCGAAAATAATGACTGACTTTACCGTTGATAAGGGCACCTTGCATGACATGGGCTACAGTGATGTTGTGCAACTTGCATTTGCTGAACAGACTAAAAATGTAATGAGTAATTACCATATCATGGAATATCTTCGAAAAATTGTCCCAAGAATGTTTCAAAACACATTGAGTTTGCTCAGCAGACAAATGATACAACAATTCTTAGACGAATTAATATGGAGAGAGATGTATGGAAATACATCGGAACGTGCATTTGACAATATTATTCGACACATTTCGGAACAAACCAAACTCGATTCCAGTAAGTAGCAAAATATTTATTCTAACAAAGTAATAATTTTTTATTGTTAACATATTTAGTATTTTTATATTTTTAAATAAAAAGAATGTATATATCTTTTCAGACGATAATCTGCTAGATCGTTTAGCAAAAATCGCATCTAATCCATTTCACGATTGGTCTTACTCGAACAAATCATCGCCAGTGATAGATTCAACTCCAATAACTGATGTATCATCGGTTCAGAATAAAATTCCTGATACTATTTCAATAAAAGTGTCTAGTCTGAAACGAAGCAGAAAACGAAATTATCCTATAATAACTTCGGAACACGAACTGCAAAGAACAATTAATTTAAAGAATAATAAAGAAAAAGATGATAAAGGTGAAAAGGAACCGAAAGAGCAAATTCAGCTCCAAGAATTGTATTATGCTACAATGGAAGGTGATCAGAATCTAATCTTAAAGAATATAAATCTCCATTATATTTCAAGGTTTGAAGTTATATTGTATCAATATGTTTTATCTGAGATATATATATCTTCTTGATATATTATAACTAATAATATATTAAACTAGCAACACTAAGCTAAAAAGATATATATATTTTTTGTCTTACAATTAGTGTTTCCTCTGTACAATGGTGATGAGGTCTAATACTGAAGTGATGGAGCATATGGTTAATCATGTACCCCCGCAAGTGCCCGGTCAATCGGAATTGTCAATATGTCGTTACTGTTGCACCGCGCTTTCATCGCAGCATCAGATGCTTATACACGTGGCAGAAACACACAGCAATTTTGGTCATTCTGATGGCCCCATGGTAGTTTGTGCTATTTGTGAAGAGAAATTCGGTAAGCTAACATGCCAATATTTTCCACATTCGCTTTACAATTGTTTATAATTAAGAAAATTAAAAAATTAAGTAATTAAAAAAATATACAATAAAATATATAATGTTAGAGAATTTGAAAGAATTGCGTTTTTATACATGTTTTTTTATTTAGGAAAAAGCAAATCGTTAATCGAGCACCTATCATTGATGCATTATCCTTCGGAAATGCCATATCGTTGCGAAAGTTGCGGTTATCGCACATCCAGTCATAAGGATGTCATAGATCATTATTATAAAATTCACAAAAAAGGAGAAGGATTGCAGTGCCCTTATTGCCTTAAGGTAAGAATGAAAGACTGCTATATACTGCCAATATGTTTCTTCTTCTTACAAGTTAATGCGAATTAAATGTTACTATTGCAAAAAAGGTAATACAATTTGCGAACGAGGGGAATCCAAGTGCGTCCAATGTTCACGCTTATTTGTCGCACATGCAAAGGCACGTTGTAAGAAGGGATCAAGGAAGAGGCAATAAATGTTCAAGATGTTGCCTCTGGTTCAATCAAAAGAGTTCGTTAACGATACATCAGCGAGAATTGCATGACTATGTTTTTAATTCAAGTAAGTATGTATTGATAAACATACGTTATATGTATACTATAAGATGACATTGATGTAGCAGAAATAATGTTATAAAATCCTGATAATAATGTGGAATTTCAATATCGTTAAAAGAATTATTAAGAAACTACTTTATCAAGACTAATAAAAATTTAAAAGATCAGTTTATTATAAATTAGTAAGTTATACTCTTTTTTCAGTAATTTTTGAAAACTTATAAATGAAAAAATATGTAATATATATATATAAACTGTGAATACACAACACCTCACATATTAAATTCATTACTTCTCTCTTTTCACTAGATTTCTTTATAATATATATAAAATTAAGATTGCAAATATTTCATTAATATAAAAATTTTTCTTATATATGAACATATTCTTATATATTTTTTATCTTATAAATTATATGTAATGATTGTAAATTATAAACTCCCACTTATCTCACAGATTAATATATCATTATAACACGTATACACTTCTTTCAAATATGCTTTTTTATTTATTATGTGAGATTATTATTTTTATAATTTTAATAGCGCGATAAACATTTACAGAAGCGGTACCATATTCTGCTGGCAAAAATGGAATAATGATCCCGAAAGAACGGCCAGAAATGAAACGATTTATTGTAGATAGTCCACCGCCCGAGTTACCACCGGATGAAAAGATACAAAAATGGGATACTGGACCAATATCAGTGAACACTTCCGTCAGATATTTAGCATGCCAGGAGTGCGAAGAAGATATTGAGGAAGAAGATCATTATCCGTAAGCATATTACTCTAAAATCAACAATCTTCCAAACTATATTACATAATATCATTTAATAAACAGAGGCGAACAGCGGTGTCAACAATGCCGTTACGTCACATGCTGTTGGCGTGCATTCCAAGAACACCAACAACAAATTCACAATGAAAGGCCGAAGACCAGTTTGATCGTGCCATCGCCTTTAATTAACATCCCGCTAGAAAAAAAACTGCAGTGCCTGTGCGGTTATACGTCGACTGATGGCAATCGATTAGGTATAGTAATGATATAGATGAATGTAACGATATATTGTTGTTGTACAGATTAATTTTCATTGACGTCGCATTGCAGCAAGACACTTGACAAAGTGTAAAAAAGTATTGGCACGTCCTATTGAAGAATCAGCACCATCTGGTATGCTCGACAGTTTAGGATTAGTTCCGAAAACCTCTTCTGAAGTATGACATTTTTATCTATAATAATTGTTATTCTTACCTGATTCTCATTCGTTTAATTGATTATAGGAAGCTGATACGTTCGAGAAATCCAATTAAATGTGACAAAAAAACAAAAATGTAATTGCTATTAATAAAGTGAATTAATTCTGTATTAGGGATGAATGAGATATATAAACTGATATGAAAAAGATATATGTATGTAAAGCTTGGCTTTATCTAGATGCTACATTGAATCTTCCCACAATTTTGAATTTTTTTCCATTCTATAAATGTCCGAAGATTGGAATAAAACTTTTATAAATCATGTTATAGAATCGAAAAAATATTCAACACTATATTTCAGACTTACTTTATCATATCATTGTACAATATTACATATTAGCATCTCTCAACGTATATTTCCCTTTAATGAAAAAGTTCCCTTTAATTGAAAAATTAATCACTAAAAAGCAATATACTTCGAAAACGTAATAATAAATAGTTTAATTCTGAATTTTTGCTTATGTATTGAAATACCTTGCTAAATGTCTACTTTTATATAATTAGACATGCAATACAAATAATTATTGTATGTTGTTTTGTATATTAATATTAAAGGAGAATTGTATATTATAAATTTAAAAACTTGTGGTTTTGCGCACATAAAAATTATATAAAGCAAGAATAATATACTCTATAATTTACTATTTCCTCATTATGAAAAATCACTTTATGTAATAGTAATAAAGTGTATTTTAATTATATATCGAAGTATTTAATGTTTTAATTACATTTTATTTATTTTATTTAAGTAATTAATCGTATATTTTAATTATACATTTTGCACATAAAAATCACATTAAATAAAAGCACTTGTACAATACAGAAGTCAATGTTTAATTTTAAAAATCAGTTCAAGTAAATATGTTTGATAAAAAAGAAGTAACAAATATATATATATATATAGTTTTATTAAATGTTTATTTAGCAATTACGTCTTCATGTATGAATAAGAAATGTAGCATACATATTTACTTTTCGTGTGTGTGTGTGTGTGTGTGTGTATGAATGTATGTGTATGTGTGGTCAGAGATACGAATATATAATACTAACTGACGGGATAAAACGCGCACGGAATTATTTATCAATTTAAAAACTTGAGGCAAAATTTTCGATAATTATTTGCGTGAAGTTAACATACAATAGTCCGTCATTCTGTACTTATCTTTATCTATATTCCTAATAAGCTATTAACACTTTTTTTTATTCTTTTTGTGATATTTTTCATTTTTTTTTGTATTTTTATATTTTTCATGTTGTCCATTATCAAGTCAACACTAAAGAACGCATTTATTAGCAAAATCTCTTCAATGTTAACTGATTGGGGATTACCAAATTATACTATTACTTATACTTAAGAATCTATACCAGTAAAGAAAAAGTTATAAGATAAGGCTCTCTCTTATAATATAACGATGAATATGATTTATAGTAATCCTGTATCTCTTCCAATTTAAAAAAAATGTTAAAAACCGCGAAATATTTTGTTCTTTTCGATTATTGGTATAACATACTGTTTCTAATCAAAAATCTCAAATTAGCAATGTGTTGTGCTACCAATTTTGCATTTGCTTCTTATAATAAGTGCTAAATTGGAGAGCACTGAACTTATTCGAACATATTTTATAAAAATTATTCATAAAGATTTTTAAATCAATGCAGTTAACAAAATTTTTGTTTACTTCATACTTTCACAGTTTTTTACTTAACAGAAACTTTAAACTATCAGAACTGCAAAATAAAAATAATTACATCTTGTAGTTACATATCTGTTATAAAGAATGTCAATTAATTAATTATAAAGAATATCAATGTCAACTAATTTATGCACCTTAGAAAGGATAAAAATTAACTCATTGAATGAATTTCATGAGCGCACGCAAACAACGCAAGTATTAAATCTAGATTACACGTGATCAATAATACTTACAAATAAGAAAATGTACCTATATTAACGAAGAATATTGCGGTGATACCCAATCTGCCACAATTAACATTGAGATATATCGATAATAAATTTTCTCTAAAATTTAACAGTTTGTCGTCGCATTCAGTTGTTAATACGCGATTCCAAATTCCGTCAAATTTCGTCACGTGGGAAGCTTTGTCAGCAGCTTATATGCTCTTACAATAATTATTAACATTGTGTTCAAGAGAATGAATCGATATACCCATCGAAAGCCTTTTATGTACGCATTCTACGTATTCCCGACTATATTTTTTTATTTCTCTATCAAGCCTCTTAAATTTAACGCTAAGGTGTTTTCTGTGTGATCACCTAATGTAAATTTGTTTTTACATCAAATTTTTATAATGTTCAATTTTCTTGTCGAAACTTAAATTCCTAAATTTTAATTAAATAAAAACGCAAATTATATATATATATAAGAAAACTTATAAATATAAGATAAACATTAAATAATTTCCAATTGTCTCCTTGTCAGAATTTCATAACTATATGTGGCGGTACCTGTAAAATAAAATATAACAAAATCTAAATAATACCTGAAATCATATAATAAATGTATAAAAAAAGAAACATGTAATTAATAAATAAAATGCGGTTAAATAAATAAATAATATAAATAAAGTTGCAGAAGAGAGATTTCAACTTTTTAATATCTCTTCTCTCGACTCAATACCTACGCGTTAAATTTGAGAGAGGCCAAACTGCTTTGCCGATTACTCGATGGCATAGAGCATGTAGAGATTGCCAGCATCACTGCCTGGCGGTACCAAGGCATGAGTTGGTGGCAGGACCGAGAAGCCCAAGAACATGAAGGTACGAACCAGCATTGCTAGACCATAACAACAGAATGATTTAGACGGTGAATCTTTTTCGTCGACGCAAAAATCTTCGACGTTCGTGCCGAAGAACGGCAAGCGACAAGTACCTCGATCTGATCTATCTTTGCGAAGGCAGACAATGATATTGGTACAACGCAGTGTTTCTTCGGCGTATTCTAGGAGCGAAAGAAAGCCCTCTTTTGATCCTTCGGGCAGAAGGCAGCTCGGTACGCGAATGTATAGACAACGGCGCCACGCTACTGTCTCCCATTCGACGGATGTACTCTCGGTCAAGTGGAGAGTGAACGTTAGACGCAATGGTTCGTTACTTCTTACAGCTTTCAACAATTCATCCTCCTATGGATCGTGAGAAAAAGAAATTAGAACTTCGTCCATCGAAAATTGACTTTATTTCGCATTTGCAATCATAAATAAGTTATTTTTCGTTTCTAAAAGTGGTTTCTACTCTACCTCCTCCTTAAGATACGTACTTGCACAATGTGGGAGCTCACAGAGAGCTGACTCTGCTTGATCCCCACGCCGCGGCTCTCTGTGTTGACTGTAGATACAGACAATGCGGCATGGGGCACATCAGGACCACCACAGAGGCCCCACGCCCAGCGTTATACAGTAATGCTGTTGCAGTCTAGAACCTTCTTCTAGACTTTCGTCCATGCATTTACTAGACATTTCACTGAAACATTTTAAAATTTTTTAAATTAAATTTAAGTTAGAGTTAAACATTATAATATAATTAACACACATGCAAAATGTACATAAACAGATAAGAATGCGAGTATGATTCCGGAAAAGGAGGAAAGATAATAATAATAAATTAATACGCAAATATGTTTATTTCTTTTTCAGCAAATGTCTGATCGGTATCACGAGATAAGAGATAAGTTATTAAAGAGGATGACGTATTTGGGACATAAACAGTAGATAGATATACTGCCAAGAATCTTGAAATGTTTGATGAATGAGTACTCATGTAAATTTAGGATACATTCAACAAGTCAGGCCATCACTTCGTTTTGCATTAGATTTTTCTACATTAACAATTTGATGATGAAAATGTATAAGAATCATAAAAATCATCAACGCCACTAAATGGATAATATGTCATTTCCTAATTACATTCATAAAATGTCGTTTCCTTGAGATTATTTCGAGAAGGACACAAAACAAAAACGGATGTCTATACCTTGGCATTTTGAGCGGAAATTTCTGCTCAAAATATGATGCAGAAAAATCTACAGGTTCACTGAGCTGATAACGCGATCGTTTTTTCGGGGGAGAAAAAATTTCGAGCAACATCCACGCGCGGTTAAAGGGAAAAGGAGCGACTGCCGCATCGCGCGGTCGACGTATGCGATTTATAAGGTGTGTACAAACGCAGATAGACCACATTACCGGACCCGTTCCGTTATTGTCGGTCGCGTATCGGCGTCATTAAAACGGGCATCTCGCCAGACAAATAACGCGTATATTTTTGCGCTTTGCTAACCGAGAGAAGCTGCTTTTGCTTTACATCTTTTACACTCCTGGCCGGATTACTTCGTGACACGAATGCTAAATGCAACGCCTTAGTGTTTCGCCTATTGACATTGGAAAATGTCGCGGCTTACGTAAGTAAGCACTTGCAACATTTTGTAAACGAGCGGTTTAATTGTGCGTCGCGTAATAATTTATAAATAATGTCTCAACTCTCGTTTGCCGCGCATTATCCAACAGATAACACGAATAGTTCATTGTAGAACCACAATTAATGAGATCATTTCGCAGTCATTAATATTATCGTATCGTCTCATAAGTAGTATAGAGTCATTAGATAGTGAATGTATTCTAGGAACGCATTAATATATATTATAAAAATTTACGATAACAAGAGAGTTATGCGATAAATAAATTGCGATAGTCATGTCTCGTGTTTTGAATATTGTGATTAATTAGTTAGAAATTATCTCGGTGCATAAATTTGATACAGAGATAAAGAGGAAAATATTGATACATTATCAATAAATTTTTAAATACTTTCCTTCATATAATCTTATTCAAAATTCCAATTGCAATCAGTATCACTCAAAATTATAATTCTAGACTGATTGTATAAGATTCTGAAAAATTGATGATTGATGATAATTTTATCGAGCTACTTGAGCTCTGATCTAAAATAATACGCAACGATAAAATGGAAACTTATTATAATTAATATCAAACGCACCAAAAAGCTTAAAAAGTTCAAGATATGATTAAAAATAATTTCCAAGCTGAAATGTGTTATCGATACGTAACTATAGGTCATCTATTTACGTTCAAACGTTTAATATAGCACAATAATATTCATCATCAGCTGTAATATATCAGAATGAGATAAAACCCACAACTATGCGCGTCATTGTTTGACATTTTAACAAAAAAAATATATATATATTTATACGCACATATTTTACCTATAAGAAGAAAGCACAAAAGACAAAACTTAACGAGAATAAATCTGCCTTTGTTCCGTGACAGTTCGCGCAACGACCTTGCGTGTTTCTTGTGTTCTGAGTTCGCGTTTTATTAATCGTTCTGGAAGCTTCTCGGCGTTGATTGGCAAATTTGATTAAAGAGAGGCGTTCTCAAGCTTGTAATATATCAATTGTATTCTACCACGGGATGAAGTGTTTTTTTGACGTAATAATATTATTGTTCTCGATCAGCCGATCGTTTGACGTAGAGATTCGTCTTAAAGTGGCTACATCGAACGAGAACTATAGAAACATTTGCATTTGTTTTATTTGTATCGATTACAATAAAAATCTTGTAAAAAAAAAAGAAACAAACACGACGAACATTTCAAAATTCATATATTTATTTTCTCGTTGCTTGTTCGGGTCGGACATGTATTTCCCGTTGCACGGACAAAAGGATGACTCGCCCCACTTATTGTCCATAACTATTGGTCACAATAAGGTGACTCGCTAAATATAATTCATACAATTGGTAGAAATTGCGTAAGAAACATTTGCGCAATAGCGAGAAACTGTTTTTGAAGAGAACGTTTTAGAATTATCAATAATGTAACATGTTTCTTATCACATAGAACGACACACCAAAAATAGAAATCGCGATACTTCGAATGTAATACTCGATTGTGAATTTGTGAATTAAAAATGTAGATTTTTTCTCGTATAACAAATTTATTGAATTTATTTATTAAGAAAATTATTGATGTTTTTTGAAAATCATGAGTTTTATGTATAATATGCATGATAATAGTGGCGAAATAATACATTTAATTTATTCACAACAAAGTAACTGAAGTATGAGACAGAACTTCATCCTATTGTCCACATATCACCGCGATATGACGAGTGCAATTTCATATCGAGGATCACGTATGCGTTGTGTTATCGTATATATGCCTCTGATTGTGAGCAAAAAAATACGATTGGACGAAACGACTCGTCGTGCATTTCTCTCTTGATTCATTTGGATCGTTACACACTCGTAACGTTGGATTTAGAACAATTGATAATAATTTCGATCGCGGCTTTTAAAAATAAATAACGTTTTGCTCGCGATGCCGAAAGATGTAACCATAAGATAAAGCGGCATTGCTGTATATCGATTGACCGAGACACGAGGCAACTTGATGTGTAAAAAAGAAAGCCAATGTCGCTGTTCTAACAGCCTATCGTTCGTGTTTCACACGAATGAGCACGATCGTGTTTTAGTAGAGTGAACCATATAAATCACACACATTTTCATTATTAATAGAGTGATAAAGCTAGATAATTTTACATAGAACTACTTGACACAGAATGAAAATAATGAAATCTTTTTTCTTACGAAATTTTCAGTGAAAATTAATGAATAATCGTATAACTGATCGATATCAAACGCAGATGAATTAGAAAATTATTATACAAATTAAACATAATAAAATTACAAATATACAAAGTATAAATACTCGAGTATTTTATTTTTTATTGACACTACGATTTTTTTTCAAGCACGAGCACTGATTAGATAATGTGTAAGAATTTAACTCTATCTTTTTAGATTTTTTTAATATGAGATAGATTTCAATATAAAAAGACATGACTTTGCAGTAAATTTTATATCAAATAGCAGAGATAAAGACAAAGAATAAACGCGTGTGAGAAACGTTCCTAAATAAAAAAAATTATCCTACGCTGATTACGCATTATTAGCCGTAATTTTAAGTTTTTAATCGAGAAAGCTTATAGAAAGATTACGCATTTGAGGATATAGAAAGCTGCATATAGCTGCGGAGTAAAAAATCGCATATTCATAAATACTTTCAAAGTCTAGATAATCCAGAAAAAAACACATCATTTCTAAATATACTCTTTTTGATAACTTGAAGAGATGCCTGATAATTATTTAACATATATGTATATGTCAATAAAAATATACTTGTACTTTGATCTTGCTAATTAATTATCATTATTTTTCATCAGATAACATCATATATTATCAAGACTCCCACTAGAAGATAACGTTATCGGTTTTTTTTAATACAATTATACGAATAATTGTGAACTGTAAATTACAATGCACAGATATTTCGACTCAAAATACGCTCTTATTTTGAAAACTATCTACAGCTGGAGAAATGTCAAAAATGTTCGGTCCTCGTTGACGTGATTGTCTAACGGAACAGCTGATGAAGATGTACTGACAATATATATATCGCATATACCTATTCTACGCATCATCTTGATCTCTACGAATGATTCTTGAAAGAAGCGTCTCGTTCGCATGCTTGGCATTGTTATCACAGTAGGATCGAATAACAATCTCGAATAATCCATTCATTCAGAGTCGCATTCTTTTCCAAACGATTCGATAACAATAACCATATTATATATGTAGCTGACGCAAGCTGTTTTGTATTACAATCACCCAACGAAGAAACGACAATAGTCGCACGAAATAAGATCTGGCAGCTTACAAATAAATGGAGGACCCGAGCACAAAGATTGCCGTAACTATTGTCGATAGAGTAAATATACATAAGTCGGAAATGTAAGTCAACGTTTAGGCTGTATTGCATTTACGTCAATCAATGTGCTTCGATTTACGACTCTGTCAGCAATTGGTTACGACAGGTCATTGTGTTCGGGTCCAGAAACAGAGACAGACAGAGAGAGAGAGAAGAAGAGAAAAAATAGCAGGAAAGAATTTAAAAATAAATAAAAAAAAAAATATTAAAATTGCTGATGAGAAAGGACGCGAGATGCAAAATGGCGACTTGCGGAGAAGGCGAGACAAAAATGGCGTAGTTACATGTACTAGTCGTGCTGCCACTCACCAATTACTGGAAATTAAACTCGGCATTATCGGCTTTTTACTACTTTCACTATTACTTAACGACAGACTGGAGTTAATACTCATACTTCTTTCTTCGTAAAATTTTGGCGGCTTTTTATGCACTGCTTCACAAAAAATATTCGCTGGAATAGCGATCGACGATGTCGGAGACTGATTATGATAGCTCTCGTTCCTACTGGAACGCGCAAGTCAAGAGCGTTCGTTACAGCGTTTCAAGTGACACTGCTGGAGCGTAGCAGCGGGGTCGACCAGTTCCCGAAGTTCCGCGGATGGCGCCACACATCGGTTTGCTTGCGTCACGTGACGTTTCGGGGGAGGAATCTTCCGCCAATCAAACACGCGATAGATATCCACACGTGTCAACCGCGAATTTTTAAATCGAAAATATCAAGCATTCTTTAATTTTGATTATCGAAAAATTTACTTCTAAATATCAATATATATTAATATATAATTAATTAAATTAATATCGATAAAAATTTACTTCTAAATATTAATATATAATTAACATTAAATGTCTAGATTAATTACATAATTAATATATAAATGATTAATATATAATAACAAAAAAAATCCTAAATCTTTAGATATAATATATATGTAATCTCAGTAAAAAAAAATAGAAAAAAATTATTATACCTATTCTAATTTATTTAGAAGACGAACAGTCACTATAGTTTCAGAATATTAGAGCAACTTTTTATTCATTGCAATGTACAATATCTTTTCTTGCGCATCTTTTCGGAGACACAAATACGCGCGCTCATGCATAAATAAATAAAGTAAATACTCTCCGCGGTCTTTTTCTAGGATATATATAACTAGGAAATATGGAAGATTCTCTCGAACGTACATTCTAGCCACATAGAGGATATATTGAACTCGATAGAGGAAATGGATAAAGTACATAGGCCCGTGTATCGGCGTAAATCAAAATGCTAGGCCTTCACTCTTTGCGAAGACCAGATATCTTCAAATTCTTTCAAATATATCTTACAAAAATTTGGAATGTCCGAGGAATTCAGATATCTCGCTAAAGATTGTACAACAGGCTGGTTGTCGTACTATCAATATCACTAAATGCTCGTAAATCGGATATACGTCAAGGCACAATGCGCTAGATTGTTCTTTATCTACCATTGTTTAACTAATTTAGACTCTTATATAAAAAGGGTTAACCTCCTTCTCTCTCACAGTATACATAATAAAATAGTGTTTACGTTACGATTCCATCGAGATAAATCATCCATCGTATAGGTACACATACTATGATATGATATTTCAAAAGTAAAAAATGCTTCAACAGATTCAATGGCAAAGTAAACGAGAATAATGATAATAATACTCTCTTACATGTAATTAAGTAGCTACTTAGCCGCACATCACCTGGCGAACAAAGTCTTCATAATTAATATTACCCTGTGAATCTTCATGACCTGCCAATAATGTTTCTACTTCTTCATCGCTGAGTTTTTCACCTGTAATAATATGCAAAATAAACATATTGTATACATATACATATTGTATATAACTTTTATTTCCAAAAAAAAAAACATTTGTAATACATACCAAGCGTTGTCAGAAGATGTCTCAACTCTGCAGAAGATATAAAGCCATTGCCATCCTTATCAAAATGACGCAGGCCTTCGATAAAGTCATCTGCTGTGTCAGATGTACGAGACTTACTGATCGCCTGGTAAATCGGCAAAAATACTTCAAAACTGATACGCTCATCTGGTTTATGTTGATGGGTGAACTTCTTCACGTCCGATTCAGTTGGATTTTGACCGAGAGCGCGTAATGCGTCGCCAATCTGGGAGACATGGATCTTTCCATCCCCACGGCTGTCAAACAATTGAAATGCCTCCTGAAATTCTACAATGCAATTCTACGTTTACTTTCCACCACACAATACATATCTTGTGTATGCATATGTAACAAAAGAACTTTAAAGCGTTAAATTTGCTAAAATTACTTCTGCAATATATAGAAAATAGAATAAAAAATTTATATAATTTCTTTTGCTTTAAATCTGTTTTAGAATACGCTATAATTAAATCATTCAAAATTTAGAAGATTATGACAGTCTACTAATAAATAGGAGCGTTTACCCTCCATAGATGACATCATTCTATTAGCCAATTCCTGATAGCTGTAGCCATACATCTTGCACTTTTTGTAAGAGATAAGATTTACTATTCAAAGCAATCACTACACACGAAAATACTAGAAATTTACTTTACATAGACTGATCTATTCCTAATCACGTTTTGCATAGGCGAGGCACCCGACTCGCGAGAATTGAAACGCAGAATAATCGGTAAATCTCTGAAAGAAGGCGGGGATCGCGATTAAGTCGTCGGCGACTCGCTTTGAAATACCGAACCATAAAAGGCAGTCCTCGATGGGCACGCGCGTGCCAGGTTCTAAAAAGGCGATGATACTCTTGACCTGAATTAAAAGCCCGGGGGAAAAAGAGCGCGACCCCCCTTGATCGCTCGCCTCTCTCGAGCCCGCTTTGCACCGAACTGTTGCACACAGTCGCCTTCAGACTTACCGGCCAGCTGATCCTCGGAGTAAGACGCCTGCGAACATACATGCGATATTCGTTTAGACGCATGCTTGGCGCACTTCTATAATCTTCGACGGTTTTCTCTCACGATACTCACCATCGTCGGGCACTCGTTCGGTGATGAGCGACAGCAACAAGGAATGACAGATACACACGTCACACGCGGATCTACGTATCAGGCGGTGCCCGGTGAACTCTATCTTGTCGCGTAGGAAAGGCACTTGGCTTTCGCCAGTGGTGACGTAGAGCGGAAGTGAGTCACGAGCTTGGATCTCGAGTGAATGCTTTTCTCTCCTGTTTTTTTTCCAGCTCGAGCTCCCAAATATTGTGGATTTCGTCAAACGCGCAATTGCTATGCGACTGTCACAGAGCCTCTGACATCGCTCTTGACAAGCTGTCAATTTTCCTTCAATTTCGCTGACAGACTGCAGAATTTTCAGAATGGCGCCATCTCTTGACATCTTCTCGGACTACAGCTTTGGCGCGACATCTAGCAATGAAACGTCCAATTACAATCTTTTTTTAACCGCTGATATAACCTGATGCGCATGAAGCGACAAAAAATTTATATGTATAATAATATATAATATTATATATTATATATAATTATTATATTATAATTATTTTTATATTAGATTATATAATAATATAATAACATACAATATTGTATGTAACGTGAACTATAAATTTTCTAAATTTGCTTCTGCGAAATATTTCATGTAATGTCACCCACAAGTTATCTGAAGACCTCTTTTGGAGTAACTGTGAACCACGCATTTATAATTTGCAAGTTACGGCGAGTGCATCGTGTATATGTGCTATAAGCATTTATTTATCAGTCGACTTTGTAATAAGCAAACGTGATAAAACCGGATAAAATTTGATTCGCACATTACAATCGATAGGTTTGTGCCAGAATGCTGTGTACAAATCCCGGGCAATTTCATAGATAGAAGATGTTTCACTCACGTGTTTGGCATAAAAAATGTTTTCATTACTTAGTAGCCTTCGTAACTACGTATTTTTTCATTTCTACCGATGGCATTATTCCTGAAGAACAGCTGACTTTATGCGGCGCGATTAATAAGCGCAGGTAATTACTCTAATTGGTTTTTTTTCTTGATTAAGCATTTTAACGATGCATACTTCGATGAATTATTTTTTCCCATATTTTTATCTTGTGATTTTTAATCCTTTCTAAATGTTTAGCTACATTATTTTGTATATAAATACAAAAATTGAGCGAATACTTAAACACAAATTTAATTAAGCACTTGTTAACCTTTTATCCATCCTTTGTTATCTTTTGTCTTTTGAGGATTTAAACAACTTAATATACATATATTCATATATAAATAATAAAATAATATATAAATCTGAATTTCTATTGAAAAAAATAAAATAAAGTCTATAAAAATTAATTTTTACACTGTAGTTTTTAAATTATAATGCTTGAGAATCAAATAGAGGAATAACTAATATTTGACATAAAAGTTAAAATTGGATAGTGAACTGTTATTAATTGTTAGCATTTTGATATTTGTCATCTGATTCTTTTTAAAGAATAAATTTATCTAGTTTTCTATTTCTAAAAAAGTATATGTTGTGTTCGCAGTTTGGTGTTTGTCAGTACATTAGATGGGAAGATATCCGCACTTGACGCTGGCAATCATGGACAAAAACAATGGACTTTGGATTTTAATGAAGGACCAATGTTGTCATCCAGTATTCATAACAAAGAAGTAATTTTTTTATAAATATTATCTTCTAATATTAGATATTATAAATTTGTGTTTATTACTTCTAAATAACAAACTATAAATAAATAACAAACTATTTTCTAAAACAAATCATGCATTAATAATTTAAGATCAAATGTTAATTCACAGCTTAACAATAATGGACAATGGATACGTCTCATCCCTTCTTTGAATGGTGGCTTGTATAAATTTGATGGAGAAACTTTGGAATCAGTGCCATTATCGACTGATCAATTATTGTATTCATCATTTCACTATTCTAATGATTTAGTCTTCTCAGGTGGTAAAACATTGCATACTTATCGTAAGTATTGTAACTATAAACATATTAGATATCTTATTAAATATAAATTATTTTTATAACAATCAGATCAATTTAAAATTGATGTTTGTCTCAATAAAGATATAAAAGCATATGCAATTTTTGAGTAATTAAAAATACAAAAAACTTTAGACAGCTAATTACAAGTTTTATTTGAAAATATAAATAAAAAATTGTATTTTTTCATTAATTTTATTTAATTAAATAAACTTAATAGCTTTTAATAAAATTTTAATTTAAGATTTAGTTATAAAGATATAAAGATTGTAGAAAATTGTAATCTTCTCAACTTTTTTATTTAAAAAAATCTCTTAAATTAATCCAAGAAACTTTAATTATAAGAATGTCTAGTAACGTTTTCACAGATTCATGCATATATAAAGTTATATATAATAATTAATATGAAATTAATATATATAAAAATAAATTAATATACAGTTTTTTATATTTGTCAACAAAAATTCATTTATTTTTGAAAAACTTATATATTTTCCATATTGAAGAATTTATATTGTTGATATTATATAAATAACAAATATTCTCTAATAGGTGTATCAGCTAGCACAGGAAAGCTTTTATATGCATGTCATGTTGCTGAATGTAGGAACAATACAGATCGTGAAGAACATTTAGAATATGATGTACTTATTGTTCAACGTTTCCAACAAACTGTACGAGCTATAGAACCTCGTACAGGTAATGAAAGGTAAAGTGATATAAACTATGTATTTTTATTACATACATAATTTATGTTAAAAAAATAGGATGTATGTACCACAAATTAATAAAATAATATTATTTAAAGGTGGAACTTTAGTGTTGGACAACATAATCTAATGTTCACATCTCGTGAAAATGATCCTAATATTCTAGACATAGACATCAAAGTGGTTATTTCAGAAGGCTTGATTTGGGCTATTAATAAAAGCAATCCTACTGTTAAGTTGTGGCAACATCAGGTTAGTACAACAGTTATAATTTTTAATGTATAAAAATGATAAATGGATTTTATTTTTATAGTTTGATGTACCAATTGTTTCAATATGGCGCGAACACACATCCAAAACTTCTATAAATGAAGGATCTCTGGAAGAAATTAATTTATTTGATGATTCTCAGTGGATCTGGAGATCTGCGCATACTACAGATCCAAGTTTATATTTAGGCATGCATGAAAGGCAATTATATGTGCAAGAAAATTCCAAATTCCTTAATTCATTGGATTTGACTGACAACTATGTTAAAAATACTAAATATTCTTGGCAACCGCACCCAGCAGATGGTATGTAAATTAAACTTTAATATATTCTATTTTTTACATTTGGAAAACTATTTATTATTAATGTGTATACAAAATATTATTTCAGTGACAGCTCTGACAAGCCCCTTACCAAAAGAAAGTAATGAAGTTTATATTGACACAAGTGAAGCACACAGCGCAACTGCATTGTCTGTGTTATATAATTCAGATTATATTAATGGTAAATCATGCATTTATAGATATGCTATCTTTAAAATTATTGATACATGATTGCCATAAATATAATTACAATATAGTTATATAAATAAATTATAATAAAAAATATAAAAAGTTAGAATAATTCTAGATTTAGACAAATTTAAAAATTATGTATTTCTTTTGTAGGTAATGGATTTTTTCTGTATTCAAGCGATCATCTTGAGAAAAAGATTGAAGATAATATTATAAAGAATAACAATAACATCAGCATAAAAGAAACTATAGAAGAGGAGACTAATACACCTCAAATTATAGTATCGTTTTGGTATTGGTGGTAAGTTCTGTTTAAAAATTTTGATACACACACATGCATATTTATACACAAAAAAAATATCAATTTACAATTAATATTATATTATTATTAGGAAAGAAGTTTTAATAATATCAATTACAACTGCCTTTGTGGTGAATTTTTTCTTAAACCAACATTTATTAAATGTAACAAATGCTACTAAGAATACTATACTTCCAGTAAGTAAAATTATAAACTTTTCTAAATGTAGAATTAATTGAATCTTATTTTTCTTTATTTTAATACCAATCTTTTATTAGATCTATTTTCTCTTTGATTTATTTAGAATTATCTTAAACAAGAATTATATATTTCAGCCTTTAATAGTAGAAGGGCATATAGAAACCAAAAGAAATGATTCGATTAATGAAAGCGAGAATGTGAATAATTTTAAATCGCGTTATCTAACAGATTTTGAGCCAGTTGATTGCTTGGGAAAAGGAGGGTATGGTGTTGTCTTTGAAGCCAAAAATAAAATTGATGATTGCAATTATGCTATCAAGAGAATTGCTTTGCCAAATAGGTCAGTTCCTAATTGTATTTATAGATAAGTGATATATTTACGAGAGTAAAATTTTGATGAGCAAAAATTTCATTAAAAAAATATATTTCAGCCGAGATTCAAGAGAGCGCGTAATGAGAGAAGTGAAAGCATTGGCTAAATTAGATCACCACAATATTGTCAGATATTTTAATGCTTGGTTGGAGTGCCCTCCTAGTGGATGGCAAGAGGAACATGATCAACAATGGATTAATAAATTAAAATTGTCATCTGCATTCCCTTCAGAAGTAACTCACACTGAAACCAAACCTAGTGATTCAGTGTACATCAATGTTTCTCAAACTGATCCCTCTTCTGTAGACAGTGCCTGTGAAGCTTTGGAATTAAATAATGTAGATATGAATGACGATTCACTTGTTGTATTTGAAATGTCAAATGAGAAGCAATACGATAACGATGCAGTTTGTATTGATGCTTGTAGTACTGATAGTTCAAACTTATCCTTTTCAAATAATGAAGCTGAAAAGGAATTGTCTAATATTAATGATACTAATGATCATTCTGAAAGCATTGTGTTTGCAGAGACTGATAATAATATTGTTCATTCCGAAAGCATTGTGTTTGAAAAAACAGATAATAATATTATAATAGAAGAGAAAAAACACAAACGTCAAAAGTCATTTTCTTTAAATTTGAATAAATCAAATAATCATAAATCAGCAAAAATGTTCCTATATATACAGATGCAACTGTGCCAAAGACTCAGTCTCAGGGAATGGCTAAAGCAGCACATAATAAGAGATTTCACTCGAGTATTAAATATTTTCCAGCAAATAGTAGATGCTGTGGAATATGTGCATTTACAAGGATTAATTCATCGAGATTTAAAGGTAATGTCTCATTTAGGTGATACAACAAATCTTTTATTTAATTATATTCTATTTTATAATAAAATTTTTACAGCCATCAAATATATTTTTTGCTTATGACGATAAAATAAAGATTGGCGACTTTGGCCTTGTAACAGCAATGACTGAGAGCCATGATGCGACTCGTACACCTTCAGCAGAGAATGAAAATGTCACTTTAAAAAATAGTATACATACTGCATGTGTTGGTACACACTTGTATATGTCACCAGAACAAATTAATGGCCAAATGTACAACTACAAAGTGGATATTTATTCTTTAGGAATAATTTTCTTTGAACTTCTTATACCATTTTTTACTGATATGGAAAGAATAGTTGCACTTTCGAATCTAAAAAAATCGATTTTTCCAAAAGATTTTGCAGAGAAATATTATGCTGAGGTAAGGCAGTTAACAGTATATATGTATATTAATTTTACAAGATTAATTAAAATTGTACATGTATTATATTATAAATAAAATATAATAAATCTGATTTTATTTGTTACAGTATAATTTGCTTAAAATGATGTTGGATAAAGATCCTGCCAAACGACCTACAACTTTAGGTATTAAAGCAAGAGCACCTTTACAAAGTTACGAAGTAGCTAGACTTAATATGGATAAAGATTCAAAGTGGCACTTTGAATTGCCACAATTGCTTAGAAATTTCTCTGTGACCAGCAGTAGTAGTAACAGTAATAGTGAATCATCAGAAAATATAATTTAATAATGAAAGAAAATTACAGTTACAAATATTTTTGACATTTTTATTACTGATAAGTAAAAGATTATTTATTATATTTTTTTCATTATATATATAACTTATTTATACTTGTATAAAATCAAATATTCAAGCAATTACATAAAATATTTTGTGTTGCATGTATACATCATGTTATATCAAAAATATTGTATGATTGTAATTCATTTTGATTACTTACATTAATTTACTATATTTGCTTATGTAGTGCAACATAGAAATTTTGTTTGCAAATTGGCAAACTTTAGTAATAACTTCTGATTTTTTATACTTTATTATTATTGTTACATTTTATTAAGTTAAGCTTTTAAAGATCATCAAGAAATATCAATAATCATATTTGTTGTATTATTTGATATAAATATTGAACAATGAAATTATTAACTTTTTTCTCAAATATTTGTTAAAAATATGTTATGTAATAAATTACTTTGGTGATAATTATATATGTAAGTATACTTTATAAAGTTAACAAAAAGCGAATTAAGAATATTTTTTAATAAAAAGTTGTAAAAAAATGTGCTAATTTTTCTTTAGATTCTACAAAATTTAATACGCATCTATTCCTTCCTAATTAAGATAATTTTAAATTATATCCATCATCGATTTTACGTTGATTTTGGCGGGAAAAGTATGCAAAACTCATGCAATATCTATTCGCGATCACAAAAACTATACAATAATATATTTATATATAATTATGTCCGCATTTTTTTTTATATATCGACGATTTATGTAAAAAAATCCTAAATAGAGCTCCTTCAACATTTGTTTCTTTATCAACTGGCATAAATTATCCGGTGAGGTGACGCTGAGTGACGCCGGTTCGGCCGGTTTGGCGCGATCGCGACTGCATGTCGGATGTGTTTCGATCAATCATTCAAATAATTATAGAAAGCCTATACATCATTGAGTGCGTATTATATTAATTTTATCATATTGCTTTTACTTTTAAGAAAATACAATTTTTTAGTAATTTCAATAGATTCTCGTTTTGATATAAGACGTTTTAACCTCCCCTAACCTATTTTGTTATTTCTTTTTTTTTAAACAATTTTTTATTTGTTATATATTTATTATATCTATTATTTTATTTTTAATTTTGTAATTATTTTTGTTTTCTCTTTAAACATCAAAGATCATTAGTACATTTTTTCTCATATCAGTAATTAACCATAAGAGATTTAGAAATAAAAGTGCTTGTTTTTTTTTATTTTATAAGTTCTTTTAAGTTTTGTGTGTAATATTACATGTTTTAATTGATGTTTGTGTACATTTTTGTGAAATTTTTATACATTTATATATTTGTCTATTTTCAGTAATACATTTAGCAAATGAGAAATATAACGCATACAGAAATGGAGCCATTAAAAATACATTTAGACTCTTTAGAGATGGCTGGAAAAATGGTAGATAAACATATTCTTGCAGACAGTAATTTTCCATCTTTAATTAATCTTATGCGATACAATGTACAAGGTAAATTATATATTTCTAAAAAAAATTATAATTCTAAATAATAACAAAAAATTTGATAAACTTGATTCATCTCATACATAGGTGGACCAACTGTTAGCGGTCTTGATGATCATGATTATCCTAGCTTGAATGGTCCTTCAGTAAGCTTAACAAATATTAATCAAATGAAGATACATAGCAAAATTCCCTTGCCTTCAGAAGTGATGGAGCATTTTGGTCGTATCCTTTTTAAATATATAAAACAAATAATTGATATTTTTGATAGATAATTTTATATAAATAAAATTTAAATATTTCTCTTTCTCTTATTTAAATCTTAATAAAAAAATTTAGATATGCAATGTCATTGCATGATGGGAATTTTTACAGAAATTTCAAAAGCATGGCTTACAATTGACAGTGATATTTATGTATGGTCCTATGAGAATGAGTAAGTATCAATATTTCGAATTTTATGTGACTGATACAAGTTTATAAATTTATAAAAATTAAAATAAATTTTTTCTGTAAATTTTTACAGATTTGATATTGCTTACTTTGATGGTTTGAATGAAACTATTATAAGTGTAGGCTTAGTAAAACCAAAGGCAGATATCTTCCAGAGTTACGTCAAATACTTATTAATTCTTACAACAACAGTAGAAATAACTATTCTCGGTGTTACAATACTTGATGATACAAAAGGTATTTATTTTACAACTGTTTACTTGTTTTACAAATTTGTATCTTATCGAATTTTATTTATATACATATATTATTCATTTTTATTTTTATGTCCACAGAAGTGCAGTTAATTCCTGAACCAATTTTTACCGTTACCACTGATGGAGTAGGAATCACTACAATTGCTAATACTAGCAGTGGTAGAATCTTCCTTGGTAGTAGAAACGGATCACTATATGAAATATATTATCAGGTTCGACATTTAATATTTTAAGTTTCCTTAATATCTCCTAAGATTCGAAACATTGCATTACATTTAACTTTTACTCTAATCTTTTTTTGTACATGCAGGCAGAGAGTAGCTGGTTTGGTAAACGATGTAAAAAAATTAATCATTCAGAAGGTCCATTATCGTTTCTGGTACCTTCATTTGTTACTATGGCATTGTCGGAAGAAGAAGCTATAATACAGATATCTGTGGACGATTCGCGTAATATTTTGTACACTTTAGGTGATAGAGGTACAATTACAGTTTGGGATATTAATAATGGTGGTGCATCTAGAATCACATCATTATCTCAAGCTTCTTTGGTACAAAATACTGTTAATGTTGTTAAGTAAGTAATACCTTTTATTACAATCTTTTTATTACATAAATAATCAAATTATTTAACATAATCTTCTTTTAGAACTTTGGACAGTAATAACTTTCGACCTCTCGTAAGCATATCGGCAATAACGGAATCCGAATCGGTACATCTAAATTTGGTCGTTGTTGCAGCGACAGGAACTCGGTTTTACTTCAGCTGCACTTCAGTTACAAATCCCTCAAGTAGACCACAAGGTTTACAATTAATACATGTTAGATTACCACCAGGCTATGCTGCAAATGCTCCTGTAATGAGACCACGCAAAGTCCAAATGGCATATTATCGAAAGGGTAAATTATTTATTTGTTAATACATCATGAATGAAACTTTAGATGGCTGATTTGAATATATTTTTAGGAACTCTTATTCTTGTTTGCGGTGGTGACACCGAAACTGTATGGTGTTTAAGCAATGACGCTTATCCATTTACAAATTATTTGGCTGAAACTCAGAGTATCTTGCCTCTTGATAGCTCAGCTTGGGCTATGGCAGAGATTGTAAGAGATTCAGCTATACACATAGAAAAGCAAAGCACTACTCAAGGTGAACCTCCGCTTTTAGTACGTCAACATATGGAACCGCCGAGGAAATTCATATTTTTAACAGCACAAGTATGCATTTACACATAAAAACACACGTGTACAAAATAGGCATATTTTTTACATGTACGTGAAAACATTATATACATATTTATTATTTTAATTATTTTATTACAGGGGGCAATAATCTTAATGCAAGTACGTCCTGTAGATATTCTGAGACAACTTCTTCTCGAACAACGTGGACCTGATACTGAAGCAGTACGCGCATATTTTCAAACGCAATCTTTAGAACAAGCTTGTGCTACGTGCTTAATTTTGGCAACTCTTGAAAGTACTCAAAATGCTCAGGTATAAAAATTTAAAATAGTTTATATATATATATATATATATATACACACATATGTATATTGTACATCTCATTATTAATAATAATTTTCTGATAATTACATTAGTTATCAGAATGGGCGACTCGTGCATTCTTTCTATATGGTAGTCAAAGGATATCTGGAATAGGTCCTATAATTGATATGCATAGTGGTTTTCCTATAAATCCAGGTATATATGCATATTCTGTAAAATTCGAATATTACACACATAATACATAAATACATGATATTAGGTAAATACTTGATATTTAAAATTAAGATTTAAAATTAATTTTAATTTAGCAGATTTACGCACATCTACACCCAGAGTACCATCTTTCGATTCTCGAACTCAAGCTTTCCGATCTCCTGCACAAATAGGTCTTGGCACCACAGATATTGCCTTGCAACATTTCTCTGCTAAGCATAGCGGGTTATATCTGTTTGTTGGAAGAATACTTCGTCCTATATGGAATATAAGATGTATAAAACAAGAAATAATAAATAACAAAAATGTGGTAAGTATACAATGCTAGAAAAAAAATTATTTTTATTATATATGTTCTATTTTTATTATATATATTTATTACAAAATTTCTCAGAAATTTGCATCAATCATATAATCTTTCAAAACAATTTTTTCTTAGAATGCTTTTTTATTTTTAATTTCAATTCTTAAAATCTGTTTGACTAACTTGATTTATCATAATTTCAAAAACTAAAATGTTTAATTTGTTATAGAAAAATAATAATAAATAATTAAAAATGTTTTTTAATTAGTTTGGAAAATTTTGAGTTAGACTTATGTACATGTTTACTATTAATTTTATTTTTAAAATTAGAATATTTAATGTTTATAATTAAATTATAAAACTTAATAAATTGTATGTTTAAGTATAACTTAAACTTATCTTTTTTTTTTAGATATCCAGTACAGTACCAGCAACACAAATAGCTTGGATTTTAGGACATTTGCAAGCATTAAAATCTTTCTTGAATAAAAATACGCATATTACAAAACAGTATGTATTATCTAAAACGTAATCTGTTATATGATGCATAATATTATATTAAATTAATGAGGCAAATTAGTGAGATTAAAACTAAGTGCACTTATTTTTAGGCAAAGCACAAGTAGTAGAACATTAACCGATGGTTTTGAAACGACGATTCAAAGTCATTTTCAAGAGCCGATTGTCGAAGAAAGAAACTCGTTGGATGCTTTAAAAGTTTTCATTACTCATGCTTGTGAAGTTTTGGGTTTATGGAAGATATTATGCGAGAACCGCTTAAATAACATTATTAATTGTTTATCAAAGGTTACTGTTTAACTTTAATTAAACTTTTTCAAAAGCTTAGTTTCTGTTTTAAAGATAGAGAGATTAAGATATATATTAATATTTTTCAGGATCAAATTGCTCAATTTTCTACAGCCACTTTTAGAGATTTGATTTTAATAGGTCATGAGATATCTTCTCTACTCATTATTCATTTGATTGATAGGTAAGAGTTAACAAACAATGTTATAGAATGTTATATAATGTTTTATAATTAATTATATTAAAATTTTGTAGTTATCTTGGAGATAATGCATCAGTGGATTCGGTAAGCGCAAAATTAAGAGAAGTATGTCCCAATCTGTATAGGACTGAAGATGCTATTTGCTCGAAGGTATTTTTATATAATTTACACAAATCAATATTTATGTATATATCAATATTATATATAAATATCTTTGTAAATTTTAGGCGAATGAAATTCTTCTAAAAGCAAAAAATTGTACAAATCCTGAGGAAAAAGAATGCTATCTTCAGTCTGCTTTAAAGGTATATTATAATACACGTTATTTGCACAATATTATAATCCAACTTTTGATTTTACTGCATAAATACGTTTACAGCTTTGTAAAGAAGTAGCACCCAGATTGAATTTGAGTGCAGTATGTCAACAACTTGTGGCCTGCCAATTTTATACAGGAGTACTAGAATTGTGCATTTGCTGTGCAGAAAGAATAGATCCCAATAACGCTGCCTCGCATTATTACAAAAACAACGAACCAATAGAGGATCAAGAAGGAAATCTGGCATTTGCAAAACGGTACTCATTAACTCGTTGCAATAGTGGTACATCTTTTGAATAATCATAAAGAATCTTAATAATTTAGTTCATTTTCTCTTTTCTTTTCACAGTTCAGAAATTTATAAAGAATTCACCACGATGTTAGACCACTTATATCATCAAAGCATCTCTAATCCTTTAACACCAACTATACCGAGCAAACCTGGGCCTCCTCTACAAATTGCATCAACTGCTACAGTAACACCAGCAAAAGAGATAGTAAGAAACATTCATTTGTCCAATTATTCAAAATATAAAATTAATTTCTTTTTCTTAGTTGCACGAAATCATTCATGATGCACTGCAAGCACCTTGCGAGACACTTCATTCCTGTATTTATACTTGGATGATAGAGCGAGGACTTCATGGTGAATTAATTGCACTCGCAGCACCTTCACTGGAAACTTATCTCAATCGCGTTAATGCGCCTGAATTACTCTGGCAGTTTTACGAGAGGAATAAGAATCACGCGGCCGCGGCAAAAATTTTAGATTCCTTAGCTAGCAAAGTCGGGTACGTACGCTTATCGTTTGTATAATACCATTTCGCAAAGGTAAAAAATAATCATCATTGTTCATCTCGTACAGGTCCGAAATATCACTGTCAAAAAGAGTCGAGTATTTAGCACGAGCAGTTGTATGCATGCGGAGTGATCAAACTGGATATGCTCCTTATCTTGGAGTTTTCTTACGTGAATTAGAAGATAAATTAGAAGTAGCCAGAATGCAGCAACAGGTAAAAGTTAAAATTTTTTTATATACAATTATTGAAAAATATCTTGAAAAAGAGATTATATATATATATATAAGTTATTAATTAACATATATTTAATATTTAACAGATACTTGACATTATAAGCAATCAACAAAATCTGTTAGATTCTATGACAGTTACGGATGCAAAGTTGAGACTAAATTCTTCATTGCTGGATATTACACAGGTTTGTAGTTTTGATATATAGATATATATCATGTTTTATATATATATATATATATATATATATATATACATACACGTATATTTTTTAAAAATATATTTTTATATAAAACATTAATTACAGTTGTATGAAGAATATGCAGATCCTTTACAGCTTTGGGAATGCAAATTAGCTATAATTAATTGCTCAGGTCACCAAGATGACATGTTAATTCAAGGAATTTGGACAAATATAATTAATAATGGTATACAAAGCAATATTTTACATATTTACATTATTTATTCTCAATAATTTTTAAAATTTTTATATATTTTTAATGATAGAATTAGAAAATGCAACGGGAACAAACGAAGATAAAATGACTATTTTAATGAGTAAAATTAAATTACTTGGTCAAGAATATATTGGATCACCGCATTGTTTCCCAGTTGGTAATTATATTTCATATATATTTGATTATTTTTTCATATTGAAGTTTTATATATTAATATTCATATTTTTTAATATTTTCTTTTATATATGTATTTTAGATTTCTTGGTAAAACAATTGGAATTCAAGGCGTGTAAATATAAGGTATCCAACATTAGTATTATAACTGGATTTTTGGAATTGGGAATAGCAATGGAAGATCTCTTAGATATTTATGATAAGTAAGTATACTATAAATGCAAATTTTTATATACTGGATTGCAAAATTATAAATATTCTTTGTCTTTAGAATGATTGGTAAGGATACCCGTACTTGGTTACATAAAGGCAACGAATTTCATCTGATCGAATCAACAGCAAATTTGGTAAATTATTTTATCACAAATTCGAACGTAACAAATAATTTTATCAGGTAAATATCATCTGTAATACTGATCATACTTTTATTTTAGATCAAATTTTAATTTATATAAATTAAAATAAAAGCAAACAATAGCTTATTTTAAAGAAAAAACGAATTAAATATTCTGTTTTTAATTTACTATTAGAAAATCATATGTTCACAAAATTTTATTTCTATGAAATTAGATTTTAAAATTAGATTATAAATTTAGATTTTTAGTAAAACTTTTTTATTACAGGAGAAAGATAATAACAAAATGTCAAGATGTTATTTCGAAATGTTCAACAACCCTCTTCAGTAAACCTAATGGTGGAGACCTCGACAAAGAAATAACGAATCTACGATCAATCCAAAGCATATTGAACCGCATGTGAAACAAATTTACTGAAACGCGCACAGAAGTCAATATACATACAGATTTTGATATACATTACATGAAAATAAACATGCGAACCTTTGTGACCTCTAAAATTGTTTAATATTTTCTCCTGACAAAAAACTCGTATTTATATATATATATTACTACATAAATTAACTGCTCACTTTTATAAATCTTTGTTAAGAAATGTACCACAGTTTTACTGTCTAATCTTTTATAAAGTTGTAAATTCTAATAATGGTGTATCGAGTATTATGTAAAAAAATTTTGCAAATACATACATCTATGCTATGTATTTAAAAGTATATTTGTATATTTATTCCTACCAATCATTTTATATCAAATAAGTAACATTAATTGATCAAAGTCAAAAGAATTATAAATTATAAAGGTAATTAAAATTTAAATTTTATACAAGATGCAGATGGATGATTGTTTTAAAATAGACATATACATATCTTACATATATTAACTTGTATACATAGGATAAATAAAAACTAAGTTTTAAATGCAATTCTTACATCCTTTATGATTGAAATAACAATTTAAAATCATGTGCTAGTATGCAATTTCAATATAACTTTATTTGTAAATTGTTTCAGAATTCAAGCTTTTTCAGACATGTTTATCAAATGTTTCACATTTTAATTAGAGCAAAGAATTTGTGTAAAATGCATATTCTTTACCTATCATCTTTTGTGTATTAAAATTAAACAAAAAATAAGAAATTGAAGCAAACGAGAATGTACCAACGTATTGATACTCTGGGGCCCTGAAAAGGGCCATTTGTTACTTCGTGAATTTGCAGCCAACCGTAGGTTATTGTCTCACGTTGCCGGTTTACGATTATGCCTTCTTCTCCGTCTTCTTCGGCAATAACACTGCTTGAATATTTGGCAAAACACCTCCCTGTGCAATAGTGACGCCCGAGAGCAATTTATTCAATTCTTCGTCATTACGGATGGCGAGCTGCAAGTGTCTAGGGATGATTCTGGTTTTCTTGTTATCGCGAGCCGCGTTTCCTGCCAATTCTAGTACCTCAGCAGCAAGGTATTCCATCACGGCAGCCAAATACACCGGTGCACCGGCACCGACGCGTTCGGCATAATTTCCCTTTCTTAATAGTCGATGAATACGACCCACGGGAAATTGCAATCCAGCTCGGTTGGAACGGCTCTTCGCCTTGCCCTTTATTTTGCCACCTTTGCCACGTCCAGACATCTTAGCTTGCTCAAGTAGAGAATCCTCGAAACGCACAGTACGACGGTCAAACGCAGTATGTGCCAGCCTCGCCGAGCAGAGGACATTTATAGGCGATCTCGGGACTAACGCTCGACCAATAGCGTGCGAGAAGGCTGCCATTGGTTGGAGTTCTATTCACCGTACATTTCCGAAATGCTGCTATGCTGAAAGTATCATCGTTGAATTTTTACACATCTGTATCATTTGAAATATGAATAAAATATAAATAATAATGATTCAATGATCTAACAATCTAACGCACAATTAGTAATGGAAATATATATAATAATAATTATGTTAATTATATATTTATATTTTAATATATAAAATTATATAGCAGTACACGTTACATTAATTGCAATTATGTAATAACTTTTAACAAAAGTTAAATTTTTAAATATTAGCATATTTGTTAGGTTATTTGTTTTATTATATTAATTATCCCATAACTACAAGATTAGGCTAAAATTTTTAAGAATGTATTAAAGCAGATTTAAATCTTTATTTTATATTTATTTCACTCTTTTATTTTTTAATTAATGTTCACTTTCACTTTGATACATGTCTAGTTCAAATAATGTTTTTTATTACTAGAAATAATTTTAATTTCTTTTTCTTGTCAGTGCTACGAATTTGCTTTAAACATTTAGATGTCATTTTGTATGTCGATGTAATACTATACATATATACAAACGATATAAATATAAATATATGAATTTCAAATTGTGTAAAAAAGAAATAAAATACCTTTGCTTTCTTTTCTAGACTTATTTATGAAAAAAATAGAAAAAACTTTTAACACTATTTATGCATTTAATCTATTTTTGTATGATTAAATCTTTTAAAATATCACTTTTAGCATTTATCTTAATTTAAAAATCTTGCATAAAATTTTAAATTTGTAATAAATAGAATTGTCTTATACAATACAATCTATAATATACTATATAAATTAACAATTTTTAAGTATTTAAAGGATTATTTGCATTTATGGAGCATCAGCATAAGGCATAAGTACTCTTATACGATTTTATATATAAGCTATATGCATACTTAAATAATTTATATGTATATAAAACTGAGATATTCTTTCTATTTATTAAACCATTAGCTTATAAATTTCTAAATTAAATTTAAAATACTTGATTATTATAATACTTTTAATAAGAACATATTTTGAGAAAGAAAATTTTATAAAGTATAGGATATAAATGTAAATTATTTTAGTACTTTTATACATATTATTGCTTTAAAGATTTGTTTTGAAATTGAGAATAAGAAAATAAGAAGAATAAAGTATTAATACTATTAATAGATAAAGAAATAAATTGCGAATAAAAATATTCTTTCGAAGAAAGATTGTTGGCCCTGAAAAGGGCCGATTGTTTGTTGATTAGCTTCGCTTAAGCTCGCTCGCCACGAATGCGACGTGCCAATTGAATGTCCTTAGGCATGATAGTGACTCGTTTAGCATGAATAGCGCATAAGTTGGTATCTTCAAACAATCCTACAAGATATGCTTCGCTAGCCTCCTGAAGAGCCATTACGGCAGAACTTTGGAAACGCAGATCAGTCTTAAAGTCTTGAGCGATCTCACGAACGAGTCGCTGGAACGGTAATTTACGGATAAGCAATTCCGTACTCTTTTGATAACGACGGATCTCACGAAGGGCCACGGTACCGGGCCTATAACGATGAGGCTTCTTCACACCGCCGGTAGCTGGAGCGCTTTTCCTTGCGGCTTTAGTGGCGAGCTGTTTGCGAGGAGCTTTTCCTCCTGTCGATTTGCGAGCAGTCTGCTTGGTACGTGCCATTGTATTTAACGTAACGTCCAAATATCTTCAAAGCGCTTCGTCAGATTAACGCGTTCCGAAGGAATCACTGTATTTATATACCCTCCGACAGCCGGCTTTGACGCATCTGATTGGTCGGTAGCGCAGGAGTAGGGAGAACCGATGGCGCGACGCTCCTATTGGCTGATGTCGTCGTGGTGGGGATTACCGAGCAACTATGGAATAAAACTCGTGGTTTTCGCCAAGTCGAGCAGAATTCGTCGAGCTCTTCTCAGAGTGATACTACGACGCTTATAAGCAGATCAAGATGACTGGTCGCGGTAAGGGAGGAAAGGGATTGGGAAAAGGAGGAGCGAAGAGACATCGTAAAGTACTTCGCGATAACATCCAAGGCATCACTAAACCAGCCATTCGTCGTCTCGCACGTCGTGGTGGTGTCAAGCGTATCTCTGGATTGATTTACGAAGAGACGCGTGGTGTATTGAAAGTATTCCTCGAGAACGTAATTCGTGACGCGGTTACCTACACCGAGCATGCAAAGAGGAAGACCGTGACCGCCATGGACGTTGTCTACGCCCTGAAACGTCAAGGAAGAACCCTATACGGTTTCGGCGGTTAAACAGACACAATTGTTCTTATATACAAACGGCCCTTTTCAGGGCCACAAATTTTCAAACATTGGAATCTTCTTACAGCAATTATACAACATTTATTATTTATTTTAGAAGAATTAAAAATTAGATATTTTATAGTAAAGATATATTCTATAATTTTTTACTCGTATATTTTATGTCCTGTTTATGTTCGGTAAAGAATTTAATTTTAAGAATTTATGATATATATTTATTTGCCGAATTTAATAATAGATACGCGAAAAAAACTTGAGAAAAAACAATTCTAAGAAACTTCGAATATATTAATAAACGAATAAGACAAGTAAAAATCAAACTGTTTGTATACACTGAAGCACTATTTTTTTTCCTTTTTTACATGTTTGATAGATACTGATGTCTAATTTATGATCTTATAAGATCTTTATTCTGTTTTTACACATTTAAAATATTTTAAAAATTTGTGTTTTTATATATATATATATATATATAACAATTTTGACATGCAATTTTATTATACAATTTTTTATAATTACAACTGTGCTATAAAAAACGAAAAAGAATGTGATAATATATTCATTTTATTATATTAACATTACGATAAATTAATGATTTGTATTTCTTAAATCCTATTTATTAACACAAAAAATGCGTTATAAAATTAAGTTCACGAATGTATATATTTAATTCAAGATTATTTCAATCTTAAACGATCTTACGAGGGATAAGAAAGTTTTAAAGAAATCCAAGTTTATTCGTTATATTTCAATTTGATTATTAATTAATGAGGAGATAATCCAACTATATGTATAAACCGTAAGAGCCTATTGCAACAAGTATATCAAAAGTATCGTGAAACTTCAACTACTAATGACAATAAAAAATTAAGAGAAAATTATATATTATACATTATATGTATATTATATATACATGCTACATTACATATACATGTATTTTCTAATAATCTGTAAGCTATTTAATGATTAAAAATTTCGATCTATCTAAAGTCATTACTTTTAAATATTTATACAGCAATAGAAAGTAAATTATTTTTTACTGACTTACAATTAGAGTGCTATATAAAAGTTTTAAGATCATAATAATCTTTATTTAAATATATATTCGGAATTTAATTTTGTAACGCATTTTTGTGTTAATAAGATTTAAGAAATACAAATTGTTATTAAATTTGTCGTAATATTAATATAATAAATTGATATTATCATTTATCATATAAATTGAATAAAAGAAACATCGAAAACTCAACGCAACGAACAAAAGGTATTTTAGATTTATTATATTTGAATTTAATGTAATTTAAATTGATGTATATGAAAATCAAATATTCAAGGTTGTATGGAGAATAAATAAAGGCATATAAAATTTGTTATGATGTCAATATAAATATTACTTCATCATTACGAAAATAATACGTTTTAATAACGTTTCGTATCTATAATTGATTTAATAACATACTTTATTTGTATATTGAAAAATGAGTTGAAATATACGTAGATTTAATTTGTAAGCGAAACGAAAAGACTTCCATGTCTTAGACATATGTTGGCCCTGAAAAGGGCCGATATATTTTGCGATGTGTTAAATGTTGCTTTACTTGGAACTGGTATATTTGGTCACCGCTTTAGTTCCCTCACTGACTGCGTGTTTTGCCAATTCTCCGGGCAAGAGAAGCCTCACTGCAGTTTGTATCTCACGAGAAGTGATCGTCGATCTTTTGTTATAATGCGCCAATCTTGACGCTTCGGCGGCGATTCTTTCAAACACATCGTTGACAAAGCTGTTCATGATACTCATGGCTTTGCTGGAGATTCCGGTGTCGGGATGCACTTGCTTCAACACCTTGTAGATGTAAATGGCATAGCTCTCCTTCCTCTTCCTCTTCTTTTTCTTATCCGTCTTGCTGATGTTCTTCTGAGCTTTGCCTGCCTTCTTGACAGCTTTTCCGCTTGTTTTCGGCGGCATGATGAGCGACGAGTTGTCCTGCGTACGAGTGTATCGAACGAAGTCTGAGCGTCAATTGATCGTCCGCAGCCCAGGCGCGTTCATTTTATACCAATCGGGGGAGCTACGCTCCGCCAATCACGTTTCGCGGCTGCCAAACCAAGCTTATGCGTTGCTACAGTAACAGCTGTCACACGCTTTCTACGTTGAATCGGAGCAAGCTATAGAACTCGTTACTCGCAAACAGAACGTTATACAATGATGGTTTATAACAATAAAATGACTCTAACGATCTGGTATAATTCTCCTTAACAATAGTACATAAAAAATATATATATCTGATCTGCATTAAAATTTCACGTTATACTTCTTGGAATAAATTGTTGATGAATTAATATTATGCAATTTAGATAAATAATTAAGTTGAACACACGTGGTTTTTTATAAAATTTTTCTCTTATAGATATATCATCTTATACAGTATTTAACAGGTATTATTATCTCTCGATGATATTTAAAACGTTAAATAATTTCATATTATATTTATATAAAACGTAACATATAATTTTAAATATTTTTGTTAATGCTAATATATTTTTATTCTCTAAAGCATGTTTTGTAAGATTTTAAAATATCTAATTTGAAATTGAGGATAGCACAAAATATTTTTGTTATGGCTATATGCAATAGTCGAATAATGAAAGGAAGCTTTTTCTTTTCCAACACCATTTCGTGATATACTATAATATTCGGGACGACTTCGTATAATTTACTTCGTCTAATATTAAATAAATTTCGCATGCAATTTCGTGTAATACATAAACAAATCGCAATAAGATGTAATCAATGTTAAGAGAAAGCTTAAAATGTGTATATGCGCTATAATCTAAATTATTTTCTACTTTATCCTTTTTGTTCATTATTTTACATTATTTTGGAAAAATTTGCTAATATTTTTACTATGAGATAATTAAAATTATATTTAGAGAAATAATTACATGTCACGTAATACTCTTAAATTTCAGATTTATTTTGATACTACAAAATAATTTACTTTGTTTTACCATTTGTAAAATAAAATAATAACATAGAATTTAATGACTAATAAATGAAAATATAGTATTATTAACGATAAAAATAAAGTTTAATTTTAAATACTAAATTAAATGCGTAACAAAGATACTAAATATGAAAAATAAAATTGTATATAGGTACTAGTAGATTCGATTTATAATCATACATTTACGTTAAAGTTAACGTCAATTATATTACAAATAATATACTGTATCTTTTTGTTCATCTTTAAAAATAGAGAATCAAGATAATAAATATAAGATCTTGACATTTGACGCATAAATAAATCCTGTATTATAGTATGCGCCTACTGATAAATATACATAGAATTACTAATTGTCAAAAATGTTTACTAGACGATAGAAATATTGTGATTCATCGCTAAGTTATTTTTCTGTAGTTTGTATTTAATGGAAGTATTGATACGATAATTAAATATTTTTAAACTACATATTTCGTTATCGTCAGTTAAAATTTTATGTACTAATGTGTAAATATTTATATCATATAATGAAACATGTCAGCTTAATATGATCAAAATGTGTAATGAAAGGGAGCTTGGATATATTTAAACTTTGTGAAAATAAAATGTTATGCTAAACGAGATTATTCCAGTCGTAAAATTTTGTGGCCCTGAAAAGGGCCATTTGGATGATGGATGTCAGATCATGATTTAAGCTTTCTTTTCCGTCTTCTTGGGCAGCAGCACAGCTTGGATGTTAGGCAATACGCCACCTTGAGCGATGGTTACACCGGATAACAGTTTGTTCAATTCTTCGTCATTGCGGATGGCAAGTTGCAAATGACGAGGGATGATTCTCGTCTTCTTGTTATCACGGGCCGCGTTTCCAGCCAACTCCAAAACTTCAGCAGCAAGATATTCCATAACCGCAGCCAGGTAAACCGGAGCACCAGCACCGACACGCTCGGCGTAATTTCCTTTCCTCAACAGACGATGAATACGTCCAACGGGAAACTGTAATCCCGCTCTATTAGAGCGAGACTTTGCCTTTCCCTTGACTTTGCCACCCTTGCCACGACCAGACATGATGCTTGATTGGCGAATGCAGGATATCTCAACTTCGAGAAGCAGGAAAATTATGACGCTCGGTCGTTCCGCGCTGTCCTTTTATACTCTTTCGGGGGAGCGTGGCGCCACCAATAGGAGCGCGCGGCGGCCGTCCGGCGTTCTGATTGGTGCGCCGTAGGTCCCGCGCGTACGTATATATAGAATAGCTCGGCTCGCACTCGGCACATTATCCCCGTGAACACCGAGGACGCTGTATCGTGGTTTAATCTGCAAGTACTCTCGACTCGACGAGAATGCCTCCTAAAGCGAGTGGTAAGGCCGTAAAGAAGGCCGGCAAGGCTCAGAAGAATATCAGCAAGACCGATAAGAAGAAGAAAAGGAAGAGGAAGGAAAGCTACGCCATTTACATCTACAAAGTACTGAAGCAAGTACATCCGGACACCGGAATTTCCAGCAAAGCCATGAGCATTATGAACAGCTTCGTAAATGATGTATTCGAAAGAATCGCCGCGGAGGCATCGAGATTGGCGCATTACAACAAGCGCTCGACCATCACCTCCCGCGAGATACAAACTGCTGTGAGGCTCCTGTTGCCGGTGAATTGGCTAAGCACGCTGTCAGTGAAGGCACGAAGGCAGTAACCAAGTACACCAGCTCCAAATAAATTGCCAATTTGTCTCGAGTATATAAACGGCCCTTTTCAGGGCCAACAAAGAGTTTCAACGTTGACTCTTCTAGGTTTTGCAATAAAATAAAATTACAGTATTACATTTAATTATAATTTTAAAAAATTTAGTCTATTGCTATAATGTAAAAGCTAATGCATTCTGTTTGAATTTATGTCGTTCTTAAATATCAAAATGTTCATTAAAAAAATTCTGGAATATCTTAGCATGATCTATACGAATAAAGAAAATGTGCCTTGAATATATTATAACAATCTTTTGAATTGTATAACATGTATTCTTTTATTATAATAATGTAGAATAAATAATTGCATGAAGAAAAATTCTTAAAAAACTTCGAAATGTGCTTTATTATATGTACATATATATATATATATATATATATGTAGCACAAAAAAATATATAAATCAATTTTTTAAATCAAATACATTTTTATGTTACACATTTTTTAAATACCATTATGATTGTTAAATGTTTCCATTTTTAATATATAGTTCGATAAAAAAATTCATAAACTTATATATATAGATCGATATATTCTTTCTTTGGCACAATTATAAAAATTGAAGTAAAATTATGAATATTTGAAATTAATAAATTAACAATTGCAGTACATATTTTTAAGAGAAAATACATCATTAAATTCATAATTTAGAGAGGATATATGTTCAATAATGTTGAAATATATATATTATATATATTATATAAATGTGATTTACAAGTTGGTTTATCTCTTATTAGTTATCTTAAAACAATTTTTGAGTCATAAATAAACTCTCGTATAATTTTAGGTATTTATATTAGTTATTATATTTATAAAGTATTTACAAAATTGGAAATAAAATTAAAAAAAAATTCAATATTACATATGTGGCATAACACGATAACTGATTGATAAAAAGATACTGCAGTGTTATCATAGAAAATGTCTTCCATATTTCGAACGAATGCATTTAATTAATCGATTATAATGCGACAAATAATAATGTTGCATAAATTCGCTTTACGCAGGTAAGTGTCTCAATTTTCATTTATTACAACTGATTGTGTCAATTGGTGTTTTACATTTCTAGTTTATTAATTTTTCAGCTATTCGATTATTTTTCGTCCTAACCTATTAAAAATTTTCAAGTGTGTAAATTCAAGTCACAGCATGGCAACAGATACGAAATTTTTGTCAGAGGCCAAATCTGATTTGAACGATATCTTTCGTTCTGCTGTGAAAGCGGTATCATCGAACGAGATTATCAAGAAGAAAGTGAAACTCCGAAATAATACTTTATACATTGATGAGAAGAGCTTTTTGCTGCGACAGAATGTCTATCTGGTTGGATTTGGCAAAGCAGTTATGGGAATGGCGATAGAGCTCGAGAAAATACTCGGTAATGTCTTAAAGAAAGGTATCGTCAGCATTCCAAGTATATCAAAGGATGTGATCTGGACGTCCGAAGACAAATCTGGCTTTCCCAAGTTACATGATAGTGTGATAGATTATCGCGTAGGTGCTATCAATAATCAACCTGACAGCAGATCATTAGACACTACGCACAATATTATAGACCTGGTTGAAAAATTGACAGAAGCAGACACTCTAATAGTATTGGTATCAGGTGGAGGTTCTGCTTTGCTGTATATGCCGAGGCCTGTTCTTGATCAGGAAGACAAGTTGGAGCTGTGTAAGAAGCTGCAAAATGCAGGTGCTGATATTAAAGAGCTTAATACGGTAAGAAAAAGTTGTCTTTGGTAAAAGGTGGTGGTTTAGCACGAATGGCTTATCCTGCATCTGTTATTACATTGATATTATCCGATATTGTTGGTGATCCTGTAGACTTAATTGCTAGTGGTCCTACTGTTTATAGCACAAAAGTGCCTGACGATGTTATTACTATATTAAAAAAATATAACTTATATCAATCGCTAGAAGGTAATCTGAAGACAGTTATAACATCCAAGGAAACATTTAATGACAAACCACTGTTGAGTCCAGCTAAACAATTTAAGCATGTGACAAATATAATTTTAGGAAACAATGCAATGGCTCTTGAGACTGCAAGTTTTGAAGCATCACGCAAAAAATTGTGTCCTATAATATTAAGAAATGACATTACAGGAAATGTACAGGATGTTAGTTTAGCATATGTTGATATCACAAACTTAATATGTCTTGCTTTGTTAAAAGAGTTAAAGAAAGAAGAATTTTATGACAGAATACGGACCATGCCAATACTTTCATTATCTACTGATAAGATAGATGAAATCTTTCATAAAATCACTAGCAATTTTAGTGGTATAGTTTTAATTGGAGGTGGAGAACCTACAGTTGTAGTAACTGGTCAAGGAAAAGGCGGTAGAAATCAAGAGTTAGCTTTACGTTTCTCATTAGATTGGTTAGCAAAAATCAAAAGTGATCCGAGACTCATTGAATATGATGTAATAATGCTTAGCGCAGGTACTGATGGTCAAGATGGTCCTACTGATGCAGCAGGTGCATTTGGTTACGCTTCCATTGCTCCTTTAATGCATAATATGTATGCAAAGATTAAGTCTATGGCTACTAAAAGAGTTATGCAAACTTTACCTGAACAGGAAATAAAAGATATATCAGATAAAAAATCTAGTAACACAACAAAAGAGTCTATTTCTACTCAAGAACATATTGATCGCTTGGTATTAACAACAATGGAAATGGAACGCATGTTACCTGAAAATATTTTAAAAGAAAATGATACATATAATTTTTATTCGCGTTTTAAAAAGGGTGCAGACTTAATCAAGACAGGAATCACTGGGACAAATGTTATGGATTTACATTTTATTTATATTAAACAACGTTCGTGTAGATGTGAAATTGATTTCTCTGATAAATCAACATGTGAAGAAGATATTTTAGACATACATGATTTACATATTGACATATCGACTATCGAAAAGTACAAGGCTATATATGCTCCATTAAAATTGGACAGAGATACACTTTTACAGCCTCCGTTTTTAACTACCAAAGAAAAAGAGCCATCTCTTAATATAAAGATCATTGATGAAATTTTAAAGATCCATGTTGCAATTAAATACATAAACTTGATTAAGCTAACAAATTTATAAAGAAGAAACATTTTATATTATATTATTTCATCTGTTAACTGTATTGCATATAAAATAACTTGCATGTTCAACAATATCTTTCTGGAAAGAATAAATGTACATTTTGATGTAAATGCAGAAATTTTTTAACTATACATAGGATACTTCAATTATATTTGTACGCATCACAAAGGCACTGCTTAAAAATAAATCTTTTAAATTATAACATTTTTTGCGTTACACATACAATATACATATTAATTATAATTGAAGAGATGTGATAATATATTCTTTACACACACACACACACACACACACACACACACACACACACACACACACACACACACACACATGCATATACATATACACACATCACACATACACCACACGTGCTTAATACACACTTTGGTATATATATTATGTTTATATTTATATATATATATATCTTGTACTTTTATAAATCTTTTATATATATTTATGTATATATGTATATTTTTCTCACTTATAATAAAAGAGAAATATAAAACTAATATTTTCGTGAAGATATATATATAATTACAAAATAACATTTATATAGTTATATAGGCAATGTAGCTTTGGTTTATTAGACTTTTTATCTAAAAATAATTCTACTTTTTATAGATATATCTTGTTTTTTTTGCAGTTGTTAATTATTTTTATAAAATTATTTTGACAAATTATATATCAAAACATTTTTAAATTTCTTAAGAGTTATAATATATAAACAGAAGAAAAGCTATAAAAATTACTGTCAATTTTTTTCATGTCTACATTATTTTAAATTAAATAATTAAACAACTAAAATTTTCTTTAATAACATATTTATGAATTATGCTATAAAATGATAAAAATGTGTGAGATTATATACTTATTTGTACATTATAATATAATTCTTACAATTTGTCATTAAAGTTTAAGATTTATTTCAAATGATGAAAAGCTTATTAATTATTAAGGAGCTTTTTGCATATTCAAAGATTGTGGAATTAATAAAATAAGTGCTTTTTAAATGGGAAAAGTTGCTAAAATTTATCCGAAGAAATGTTTAAAAAAGAATATTTAAATAAATTAGTCTTTCATTTAAATATATCTAGTAATAAATATTAAAAAATTACTACATTTTTAGACGGAGATACCTTATTAATCGAGAGAATTATCTCATATGTTAAAGATCCCAACTAAATAAATGATGTTTGACTAGCATATCACGAACCCCGTCTTTTAAAGGCTGCGATTGTTCCTTTTTGGGCGGTAGTTCCCAGTCAGGGTTCAAGTTAAATGCAAACTGGCTTAGTATTCTTAATTCACATTTGATTTGTACCCAACCTGGACTATTTATGAAACTCCATGGATGATACCTAAATATTATAACAGAGACAATAGATATTATACATAAATTTATAACACAAATAACACAAATAACAAAAAATACGTGTGTATTTTTACACTTACCATTTTTGTACTACTTCCACGCAGGAACATAAGACCTCTAACCATAAATGAAGTACTTGTTCGTTTAATCCAAGACAGATGAGAGAGCGTAATTTTACATCCATCTGAGCATGTGCGTTATCATGTGTTAGATTTACAGATTGAACGCAACGATATAATAACTGAAAAATTATTTTATTACTTGCTAAATATATAAGAAAAAGAAGAATGATATAATATAAATAATCTATAGTACCTCTTCCGGTGTCAGAACTTTACCATCTTCATCCAATCTATATGTTTTGCACAATACTAATCGACTATAAACAGAATTGAAATCTTTCTCCACTTCCCTATTAGAAGCCTCTTCTATAAATAGCCATGGATGGCATGGTCCGCCCAAAATGACGGTCTCTTCATTCCATGCTCTAATACTGCTTTCATAGTGGGACACAATGTACCTCGTACTAAATCGGTAACAGCTTCGCTAACTGCATCATCTCCAGCGCATGTATATTGTTTACTTCGTTCATCTAGCAATTCTACAAATTTTGCAGGAAACCATCCTAAAATGTCATTGGATTATGTGTGTGCTTAATATAAAATAAATACTATAAGATTTCTTCCAGGCATATATTACCTCTCAGTCCATTGAGTTCTCCTACCCAACAATGTTCATCTTTTTGACTAATGATTGTAATTATATCATTTTTACGAAAACCGAGTTCATCATCATCATGTCTCTCGAAATCTGTAACATAATTAATTGTAAAATAATTTTAGCTGCCTTGAAGTTTTATTAAAAAATTCCTTAAACTAATATGTAACAATAGAAAAAATATTTGAACCTAGTAAAGCTTTGGCTCTTCTCTTTCGCGTTCGTGATACGTTGACATAATTGTCATGATCTTTTGCATGACTTTCCATACTATAATCTGCTATGAGAACAATATTATTTAATTTTGGATCCACATTTATGAAATGTCTCGCTACTTGTAAAACAGCTTCCCTTAAATCAACTAGAATTTCTGAAAGTTTCATATTCATATTAACAAGTTGGATAATGCAATAATTTTCTTATGAAGAATTGAGAAATCTATACAATCTATATGCATGTACCTGTTTGACGAATATTTTTAGACTTTGCATCATCTTCACCATCATCATTGCCAAACAAAATTGTTTGTAACATTGATTTACTTCGCTTCATTTGACGTCTACAAGCAAAAGACATATATGAAAAGATAAAAAAGATTTAAATTATCACGATTATTAATCAAGGTTAATAATAGTAATGATATATTTTTCATCACCTATTCAAATGTTGTTTCGGTAAATTTGGTACTGCATCCGGATTCCCTACTAGTCCACCTTGATCAGCCATTAAATATGCTAAATGACGACGTCTATGAGTTTCAACCAATACATCTGTTAGCGACCCACTAATTTCTAAAGACACCTGAAATACGTATTAAACAAACATTAAAACAATGTTGAAATCTTGTTATAACATAAGTAAAATGATATCAAGAAAAACATACATTGAATAACTGGTCCACATCATCAATGTCACCTGGTATGTCTGAGAGAGCATTAAATATTTGTGCAGAGTTCTCTAATTGTTTTAAATCATTTTCTGAAAAAATATTTAGTAACAATAAACATGTAACTATACATGTATCCTTTCATGTTTTGTTTTCAATCATTTTCCGAAAAAATATTTAATAACAATAAACATGTGTAATTATATATAAAAGGATATATCAATATAAAATATAAAAGTACCTTTAATTTTCAACATTCCAAGTGTGATTTGAAATAAAACTATTGATCCATCAAAGAGAAACATATCCCATATTCGCAACAATATCTTCATGTGTACAACTGATGCAAATAAAGTCAAAAACCAGTGCAGAGATATGAGACTTAATTCTATATCATGCAGTGCCAAAACATGATCTATATCAGGAAGATAATTAGTTACTAATGTGCGAAGAACTTTTTGGTCAGCTTGAATACCTGTGAAAATAATAATTAGGATTTAACATTATATAATTAACAATATAAATTTTTGCGACTTTAAAATGTTTTATAACATCAACAGAGAATGTATTTACCCAACAATGTTGAAGAATAATAAGAAGCTGGTAACAAATCTTCTACTATTGTTGCCATCATCCAAAATGCATCCTCCTCTTCCAAGAGCAATAATAATGATGCTGCCATTGTACCTGTACCTTGACAATAACTGATGCAACAGGAAAACAAAATTATATATTAGTATATTTATGTTGACTTAATGAGATAATCTTAGAATTACACATTTGCATCTTTCCATACCCAATATCAGGATATAGCCAAGCTAAGGCACGCATAACGCGCCTTAAACGAGGTATACCGGTACTATGGAGGTGACTGAAACATGCATTGGCTGGCATAATGCGAAGGAGATCTTTCTCTATTTGTTTATTAGTCATCAGAGCATCATTACTTGAAGCTTTTACTATATCTTTGTAGAATATTTCTGACGAACATTTTTTCTGGAGTGCTCCTGTAATTAAAAATATATTTTTATAATTTACAGTCTATTATATTAATTTGTTGTTTTATACCTGACATCCGCATCCAAATTTGAGGTCTCAGAGAATGAGGTATCCCACGCCGAACCATTTCACGCAATTTATCCGTGCGAGGTAATCTTAAATCCATATTTTGCCAAGAGAGTTCTGCTATTTCTTTGTTATGGCTAAATTCTAAGAGAGCAACCCATTGCAATCTAGAGGAGTGAAATTAATAATGTATTTTGATTATATTCTCTATTTTAAATTAATTTTCTATATTTTATACATATAATTATAAACACTTAAAAATTTGTCCATTTTATATTCAAAAGATTATAATTAACCTGTGTTGCGGATCTTCAACAAATGGTATTCCCAATAATTTCTTCGAACTCTGCTCAGGACCATCTTCCTCCTCCACACGAAAACCAAATTCGTCAAATCTAAATTTCACAATTAAAAAAAGTTTTAATTATTATGTAATATTATATTTTCTAAATATAATTTTTATTGTGTGCACAAAATCATAAAATAATAAATCTCTAAATATATTTATATTTAAAATAGAAATTCCAAAGGTTTGTACTATCCAAGAGGTATATAAATCTTACCTGTATTCAGGCTGTGAATTTGGATCATCAGGTTGATTCAATTTAGCTAAGATATCTTGTGGCCACATAGATGAAGTTAATGCTGAAAATGGACCACCTGGTGCTGGCGACAGAGTTTCTCCACATAAGCCTCCAATCTCCACTTCAACTTCATCTTCGGAGACAGCTGTTTCTAATTTTTTCTAAAATATCCAAATGATAAGTTGCATTAAACATTAAAAATATTTAGATAAATAGTTTAAATATTACTTTTTATTAATATAAACTGAAATCTTAAAAATAATTTTGATATTTTTTTACTGTTATCTTCATATATTAATTTTACAATTGCTACATTATTTTTTCTTTTAAATAATTAATTGTCAATTTATCAATTATAACTTTGAAATTACAGAAATATATATTCAAAGTTTTTCTCTCTTTATAAACTAATGAAAAGTAATTTATATAATAAAGTTATTAGAATTTATTTACTATAAAACGTAATAAATACTTACGTTATGCTCCTCTTTTCCGACATAACCATCGTGATCGCGAACATTGAAGAACGACTTGGCCAGATCCATCGTGTCGATCTCGTAGTATCTCGTATATTAACACGTCAAATCTTCATTGACATTTCGCAGCTGTCAGTGTTTGCACATGAATTCCTGGAGCACAATTTTTTGTTATACCTCTAGATAAAGATATTCGATATTTTTGACAGCGTCAACCAATAATTCCACGAGAAACACCGGCGTGATCGCTTTCTTTGGATATTCTCTGTCTATATAATTACATTTCGTCTCAATTTCGCTATCAAATGAAACACTCTAGTTCTAGTACACCGAGATACTAAATGGCTAAAATGAGAAAAGAAGAGAGAAGGAGAGGAGAAAGATAAAGAAAGAGAGAGAGAGAAAACGCGAAAGATCCCGTTATCTTCTACGCGCGTTATTTCGGAAAAACGACACCAGGGGGCAGCAGCTGTCAAAAGCGAGAGATGCGCCGTCCGAGAAAACATGGCGTAAAGTGAGCGTGTTGCTCGTGTGTCAGTGATTTCGGTAAGAGGTCAGTTCCTGAATCTCGGTGTTGGTGTAAAAATCGCGAGCGGCTCCAGCAGAATTATCGTTTCAGACTCGTAGTTAGAGGACGGATTCTCGAGGAGGGAATTCCGGAACTCGTCGAGGAGACACGCCAGGAACACGCACCAGGAGAGACGCACCGATTCGGTAGGTCTCTCTTCGAGCCTGTCATCGAGGGACTACTCTTCGTTCTGCCGGCCGCCCAGCCATCTCAGAGATTCCACCTCGCCAGTCACGCAGACCCGCGGTAATGTCCGTTTTTCCGAATAATCCGCGAGCATTTCGCGCGCGAAACCGCGGCTTTTCTCGCGCTGACCGGAAAACCTCGGGTCTAATAAGCTTCTCCTGGCACGACCACGCATTCCGATCCTCTGAGTGCTTGTGCACCGTCTCGGACGTCTTAACGTTGATATGTTGTTATTATACTCCAAGTAGTTATTTGTACGTTTTTTTTACATAACGCCCGCGTAATGACACACATAACGTGTACGTAATGCAACACAATCGGAACCACGAGATTTTCGAGAACATTTCTCTCTGTTAGAAGAAGTTCCAAATATTGACTTAATCAAAATTTTAATTTTTTGCTTCTTTGTGTTTTCTTGTTTTGTTCTAGGTGAACATGTATTGTACTCTCTGAATCTTTAAACAGACTTGAACGCTAACTGCAAGTAACAATCTTATTCTGCAGGTTAAATATTTAGAATTTTTTTCAATTGAGTTCTATACTACTTTTTATTATTATTATTATTATTTTATTATTTATGAAGTATCAATCATGTTTATTGCATTACATAAAATTCATTGTATTTCATAAAGTTACAATTGCAAGCGATTAAGAGCATACTACAAAAATATGAACAAATTGTAGAAAATACCATGAAAAGTAGAAGATTGCTTATTTTTTAAACAAGTTAATTTGTTTTGAGCGACCCATATTTCTCATGGCAATTTGTCTAATCGATTCTTCAAATTATGTGATTTTAATTTTTTAGGTTGGATAGGTTTTAATTAGGAACGAGCACACTTTTTTATTAAAATATACATCAGTAATAAATTAATACAATAAAGATTAAGTAAGTTTTAGCAATGAAAATATGCTTAATTTATATCCACATATGCATATTCTGTATAAAATATGTTTTCAGTAGCCAAAGAATTAATATACACATATCTTGTATCACTTATCTGTACGTGCACACACATTAGATATTAGTTATAATTTTCTAAAAACTACTACACTTTATAATGATAAATAATGGAAATTGAAAAAGGAAGAGATAATATAGTTTTATCTTATATAAATGTATGATAAAAAATGTGTGTGTGTGTTGTATGCTTATGTGGCTTTTTACATATTTATGTAATAATTACATAGGTACACAAAATACATATAAATTTATGTAAAATAATTTAAATGACAATTATCATGTGTATTTAGAGTAGTTAATTAGTTTATTGAAAAGTAATTCTTAAAATTATTCTTTAATTCTGTATGCCGCAGTTGTAAAAAAGAAAAATTATAAAACAGGGAAGCACAGGGAGACAGAAAGAGAGACGGGTTGTGATCTCAGAAAAGAGAGCCATTTCACAAGCTTGGTTTAGACATTCTAAATATAGCTGGAGGCTCTATAGGCTTTCCGTACTGTGTCATGCCGTGCAGAACAGCATCCTGCTGTGTTGCGTAGATCTTGCTCATTTTCCGCCGTCAGTATGGCATGATGCCAATTTTTGTCTGCTTGTCTTGAGAGTATCTGTGATAAACTTTTAATAATCACTTTTAAAAATCTATCACTCTTATTAATAAAAGAGCATTTATATGCTTGAAAGAGATGCTGCTTTTTGCTCTGTTGTTATAATATAATGTTTTTTCATTGAAAGATTTTTAAAGATTTTAATGGAATTTATAAAGAAAAAAATTGTAAGAGAATAAATCTAAATTGACATTGTATATACGAAATATTTGTGACTAAATTGTAAAATAAATACTGTAGTAGATTTTTCTTAGAAAGCTTTTATCTTATAAAAAAATCTTGAGATAATATTTAAAAAAATGATTGATATAATTAAGTTGATATATAGTTAATATATTTTCCCCCCAAAATTATTATAATAAATATTTGATTTAATATAATTCATTTGCATAATTTTGTTTACAGATCATGGTTTGCAGAGCCGATGAAAAGACTCAAATATGTGTGGTCCAATTCAATTTACCTTATGAGATACCTAATCAGAAACTTTGCACTATCGACAAATTTTCTTTATATGTATCTACACGCGTAATAGATCTTTACAATTATATTGAAGAACATTATCATATGCAACCAAATAGCTTTAAATTACTTTTATGCACATCAACATGCAAAATGGTGATTAACTTTTTAAATATATAATGATATATGTACACAATGTGTAAATACATGTAATACTAATGCAATGTTCAATCTCTTATGTGTAATAGATCTATTTGTCTGATGTGAAAGACAAAACAATGGAAGAAATTGGAGTAGATTTCTCGATTGATCCGAGTTCAGCTGGATTAAAAAATACTCTATTTGTTCTTGATCCGCAACAACCTTTTGTTATTGATGGAACACTACCAAAAAATGTGGAATACAGTTTGCCAACATACAATCTCGCAGGTGCTCCAGCTCTTCAGCCACATGTATGGGGAAAAGAGGATATTGTTAGAGAAGATGTGAGGGAAGATGTTAGAGATGGTAAAGAGGAAGTTAACTTTAGAAGTTTCATTAAGACTGAGACAAGTATGTAATATATATATGTGTATATATGTATATATGTATATATTATATATATATATATATATATATATATATATAAATTAAAAATTATTCTAATATAAATTTGTAAACATTAACATAAATTTATTCTCATTAAAATAATATATTTGGATAATTAATATTTGATAAATTCTTTAAGGCTATGTTGGTTTAGTCAATCAAGCAATGACCTGCTACTTAAATAGTCTTCTCCAAGCATTATATATGACTCCAGAATTTCGTAACGCACTATATAATTGGGAATATGTAGATAGTTCAGAAAAAGATGAAGCCTTAAGCATACCATATCAATTACAGAAATTATTTCTTAATTTGCAGGTATAATATATATTTAGAATATATATATACTTACTATTGTGCACTATTGTTACTAAACTTATTGCAATATTTATTTTTAATTAAATGTGCATTTATTTTCAATTAAATGTTTTTAATATGCCTGACACAATCATATTTTTTTTTAACAGACATCTACCAAATCTGCAGTGGAAACTACATCCTTGACCAAAAGTTTTGGATGGGATTCTACCGAAGCATGGCAGCAGCATGATATTCAAGAGCTTTGTAGAGTTATGTTCGATGCATTGGAACAGAAATTTAAAAATACAGAACAAGCGGATTTGATCAACAGACTTTATGAAGGTACAAAATATTGTTATATGTGAGTTGGACAAAATCTCTAATTTGCCTTTTGTGTTGTTAGGAAAGATGATTGATTATGTTAAGTGTCTCGAGTGTGGAACAGAGAAATCGAGAGAAGATACATTTCTTGATATTCCATTGCCAGTTAGACCATTCGGCAGCAACATTGCATATAATAGTGTGGTATATATCATAATAAAATTTGAAATACCATTTGAATACCATTTTATTTTTGTATACAATAAAAAAGCTTTCTTTTGTAGGAAGAAGCAATCAGAGCGTTTGTTCAATATGAAACATTGGAAGGAACTAATCAGTATCATTGTGAAAAGTGCAACAAAAAATGTGATGCGCATAAAGGATTGAAGTTTACAAAGTTTCCATATCTATTAACCTTACATCTCAAGCGATTTGACTTTGATTACAAAACCTTTCATAGAATCAAGCTTAATGATAAGTATGTAAATTGTATGCAATATTATAATTGATCTAGTGAAAATTCTGTTGTTTATTGTAAGCTTGTATTATCTAAGCTGTGCAATTGCAGAGTCACATTCCCAGACATATTAAATCTAAATTCCTTCATTTCGTCCACAACGAGTCAAGAATCCCCAGGTGGTGAGGAAGACATTGGCTTAGGTATCAAATGCGATGATAGCTCTACAACAGATAGCGGTACTTTAGACGACGATTGTGCACCATGTGACAACAGCCTTTCCAACAGTAATCATTCAGCCAATCATGATCAAGATGATGATGAAGGTATAATATTAGGATATTGTTATTTATAGAAACAATTTTCAGAATTATTAGAGGATGTATATGTCCACCTTCAGGTATTGATATGAGCAATGGACCATCGACATCGAGTTGTACCACGCATAATCATGAGAATGAAAAGAATCGCGGTACTTACATGTTAGGAAAAGGTCCATATATGTACGAACTGTTCTCAATCATGATTCACAGCGGTAGCGCGAGTGGAGGCCATTATTACGCTTATATAAAAGATTTTAGAACACAAGAATGGTTATGTTTTAATGACCAAAGTGTAACTCAGGTATGACAATGGATTTTGTAAAATTTTCTTTTCATTTATGTGATTAATAATTTTCTTTTATTGTAATTTTGGTATAATTTCAGATAACTCACGATGATATTCAAAAAACGTATGGCGGCGGACCATCAAGAGCATATTATAGTGGCGCATATAGCAGCAGCACAAACGCATATATGCTCATGTATAGGCAAATTGATCGTACTCGTAATGCCTTGCCTATGCAAACTCAAGATTTTCCACGACATATTCAAGTATGTGATTAAAGTAAAAACTAAAACTTAGACAAATTTGAATAAACTGTAGATTGTTTCGAAAAATTAGTGATAGGAACGTTTGAATTTGTCAAGTTACAATAGTTTTTGTTTTGATGAAACCAATGGTCAAATTGTCTGATCAATTCACAATTCAAGTAAAGCAAAGCTACACTAATAGTCTGTAGTTTCCACTGCAGATTTGGTAGATGTCTGCTAAAGCAAAACTACAAGCAAAGAAACTATTTTTAGATCTTTAAGTGCATAGTATCTGAAATTTTCATAATATAATTTTTGGCAATAGTTAGCGAAATTCTCAGGAGAAATTACTGTTATTTACTATCCTGTGTTTTCAAAACTATTTTTTTTTTTTTTTTACAATTGTTTTATAATCGCGATTTAATTATAATTTTTTCTCTTCAAGATTATTCAAAAGCATTTTATCATCTTATTTATAGGAACTATTGAAGAAAATGAAGGAAAATGAAGATAACGATAGAAAAAATCGTGAGAAACAAATGTCCATACCTAGATTGAAAATATACTGTCATCATCCGGTAGAGGGAAAATTGATGAATATCAAATTATACGTTATGTCCGACATTACATGGGCCGAGGCAACAGAGAAAGCATATAAGAAATTTGGTCTCGAAAATGTAGTGAGTTTGGATCAGTGCCGTTTAGTTAGTTACGAACATAATACTGATTTAATAGAATGCAGTTACGATGATCGAGAGCACGAATCTGTTGGAAGTATATGGCGTATTTCACGTCGATTCGATTTGTTGTTAGAAATTCGTCGCAAAGATCAGAAGTTTGAAACATATTTACCAGGTGGTGAGTACACAATCGAATAAGTGTGCATAGATAATTACATTGTGGAAAAATTTTAAACTTTTTTAACATTACATTTCAGGAGTTGCAACAAAAGTATTTATCATAGACGTAGCCAGAGAGGAGGTAATTGACGGTCCGATCGATATTCGAGGTTCTTTGTCGCAAAGTGTTAAAGAATATAAACAAACCGTAGGGAAAATTATTAATATAGATCCTAAGCAAATGAAAGTAATATTGCGAAAGCATCCAGAAACTAGACTTGTGGAAAATGATGATAGTGATCTTCAAACTGAAGGATTTTATAATGCAAATAAAATTTTCATATCAACAATGTATGATATAGATAATAAAAAACCTTTTCTAGAATCAACAGTATACAGAGTTATAGAGAATTTTAGATATGTTATTTCGTTGCATGTCCAGTTACCAGATGTGAGCAAAGGTAATTTATATAACATTTAAATAATTTATATATATTTTTTATATAAGTTTATTATATTATTTATATAATTTTATATATATATTTTATGTAATTTTTAAATTTTAAATTAATGAGAGATGTGTTTAATTTATTTTGACTAAAATTCTATTGCTTTTAATAGTACGAAATTGTGTATAATAATTATAAAAAATGCTAAATTATATTAAGTAATAATTATCGAATTGTAATGACAAATTATAAAAATTTTCATTTTTTATGTGCAGAAACATTGGAAGAGTTAAATATCCCGTTGTTAGAGGATAAACATGAGGAAAAGGAAAAGCCTGTTAGCAATGGTTCACCCAAACTGTGCGTTCCCGAGTCGCATTGGGATATCAATCTGAAATGTAATGAAAATTCAAAAGGTTGTGCACGAAGTAACGAAGATAGCACTATTCGAAATATAAGTCCTCAATTAGGGGAGGCTGAAGAGTGGAATACACCTGAACAGAGTAATAGCGAAGATAGTAGTCTTAGCGATAGCGATAAAACGTTAGTCGGCGATGCGCCGGAGGGTGTTGACATTGAAAAAATATATAGGCCATATAGTGGTACATTTAAAGAGTACAAGATTTCAAAGCAATTCGAAATAGAAAATTGGGACATCGATGACGACTCTGAATATTATTTTAGAGCTACGCCTTATACAGATAGTACTCAACAAAAATGTACGTTCTCGAAATTAAATCTTTCTCTTGTACGATATTATGATTGTCTCGGTTTTTCTCATTTTCTCAATTTAATTATTCTTTCTCTCTTTGTAGTACTTAAAGTATTAGTGGATAAAAGAATGAGATTAAGCACTTTGAAAAAAGATTTGGAACCGTTCGTAAGTGTACCTGTGGATTATTTCAAAATTTTCCGTTTATCGAATTCTGGTGAATCGGAATGTAGCTGTCTAACGGAACAGCTTAACTCGTACGAGGATGGTGAAAGACTTAACGTGAAACTCGGACGAGCCTTGCGTAGTGGAGAATTCAAAGTCAAATTATACCAACTATTGGTCGACTCTACTGAGGTTTGTCTCATTTTTTTGTTTATATTTTATATTGATATTATTTTACAAGAGAGTTTTAAATATATATACATTAAAATTTTATTAGCCTTATAAATTTTTGTGCGAATGGATCGTCTCGAAAGATATGACGGTTGGGCAAGCGAAAAAAGAGATACTGGCAGAAATAAAGAGAAAATACGATATAGATATACCATATGAAAAATGTCGGCTTAGAAAAAAATATTATAAGACAGCCTCAAAAGTATTCTTAAACGAACAGAAATTCGAGGATCTCCGATTTCAGTCGCAATTTGAAATGATTGTTCAAGAATTACCAGATAAAGAGACAATCACAGATACCAATCAGATTGTCGTGTTTGTCAGAAGGTGGTTACCAGCAAAAGTGCAACTAGAACAATTTCAAGAAATTGTCATGGATAACAAAACCGTCGAAGAATTAAAAAAGAAGGTAAATCATGCAAAAACACTTAACAAATAAACAAAAAGAAGCGTAAATTGTTTTTAAAAGAATAAAATGTACATGGTTTGTCATTTTTTTCTAGCTTTCCTCAATATCAGATATTCCAGAGGAGAATATAGATATAGCAAAAGGAAAAGGCCATTTTCCATGTGACAGTTCTGTGCTTCGAATTCAAAATGAACTTGATTGGAATGAACAGTATGATAATTTAGTTTACAATTTTGATGATGGTGCTGTTTTCTTATATAGGTATTTATGATATTTTTAAATAATTATTTGGATGATATTAACGATTCTTTAATTTCATAGTTCTTTAATTTCTTAATTTTTTTAGGGATAATAGGGAAAAACCAAAACAATTAAATCCTGATGAGGTAATGGAAATCGCTTTTAAGGAAAACTCACGCTTAACGCCGCTTACTACTACTTCAAGTTACAGTCCACGTCGAGAGAGAGCACTTAAAATATATTTGGATACTGAATGATCTTTTATAGAGAAAACGTCTCTTAAAAACAAATTGCTAAATAAGCAGGTGTGTGAACACACAACATTTGCACGTTTATATTTGTGAAACCGGCATGTCATCAAATATCAGGTATTTTGTGTTTCAATGAGTCTTCAGCATTTCAAAGCTTCCGCGTTTCTAAGAGTTTTTGATTTTTTTTTGAAACTATTGAATTTTGAAGACTGTTTGGATTTGTGAATTGTTATATAGTAACATGTAATTCGGGATCTTTGTATCCATACCTGATTTCGAGATTTCTAGAACTTTTTATATGAAGTGTAAAATATACAGTATATCACATGGTCTATTGAATCAATTGTTCATCTATAGAGTAAAATTCAAGCAACATAATAGCCATAAAGTTTCTAATAACATGGCAATAATTTTTGATTGTTTTTTGGTGAAAGTTCATGTGCAAATTATTAACATCAATAATTTGTATTTCTGTTATTTTTATTATATTTTTATAAATTGCTTGGTTCTATATGGATAAAAAAATTTTATATCTTTAAATGCTAGACTTTTTTTATCTTTGTTGAAATAGTTACATATATCTAGTATTATTTACATTTTGCACAGTACATATAAACTTTCATATTGACAATATTCTTTCCTGTCACTTTTCTGGTTTTCAACAATAGTTTATAATATATTTTTATAGTATATTAAGTTTTTGAATTTGCCACTTCATTAAGCTTTGTTTTACAAATAATTTTTTAATCCAATGTGTACAATGGCATTAATCTAGCAATGTGTTATCAAATGTGTAATCAATCATGTTATAACAAATATGTTTGATAACTTTTTAATTAATTATTGTATATTTAACTGATTTAGTCTTTTTTTAATTTATGAAAGTGTGAACTGCGTTTATTACCTCTAACATTTTTTGCTTGAAATTCATTATTTTGAAATTTGCTTTCATATAATACTTGAATAATTTTTTTCTCTTAAAGATGAAAATTGATAAACTGGACCAAGTGTAATTTAATAGTTCTACTTGTTGTATCTTTATTTATTTTGTTATCCTCTATTAATGTTTTATTTATCACCTGAAATTAGACTTAAAATGTTGTTTGATTATTGTTTTTATAATCGCTGAACGAATGAAAAATATTGATATTGATGCTATCTTTTAGAAAGGTAGATAACAATAAAAGTAGTGAATTATACATTTGATCTTTTTGTGAATAAGTTAATTATAAGATTATGGTATATATATAATATATATCTCTCTCTTGATAGGATTGTAATTTGAAACTCTCCAATCAGCGATCAAATATTCTCTGTATAATACACTGAAATTATGTGTGAAACAAATTATATTTATAATTATTAACAATGAAATATTGAAATGCCTGAAATGAATATTATTTAGATATACGATTACTTTATTCTACAAACCTTTATCCTTATCCAGTCATAGCCAAAAATATATATGCAATACATTGATAAGACGTAGTTAAAAGTAATATACATATATTAATAAAAACATTCAAAATCTTATCTCTATTATAATGTTAAATATGTTTATATTATATTATAGTATAGTATACACAAAACATCAAAAGAAAAATTGAGAATTTAATATATCCCTAATATAGAAGTCTAATTGCATTAATCAGTTTAGTACTAATTCATGATAATTAAAATTATTCCAAACAAATTAGAATATTTTGTAAATTAATATATAATTGTGTGTTATTATCTACATCAAGAAATTTACCGATTGAGACTTCAGAATTCCTGACGCTTATAGAGTTGTCAGTTCACTTTCTCTTTGTTTTATTCTCTCTGGTCGTAGCACACGTGTACACACTTTGCTTGTCAATATCCTACTTTGCAAGTTTTGTCATAAGAATTTTATTATAGTTATTTAGCTTGTAATATTTTGTGGAAAAAATAGATAAAGACAAAAGTGTGTGTGTGCACATCACTGAATTACTACATAATGACGCGAAGCGAGACTGTAATTACCAAGGTACTAATATTTATTTGATTTTTATTTATTACTATCTATTCTATTGAATGAGAATTTATACGAAAAATCACAGCTTGATTATTTATATTTTTAGATGGAACACGTGGAAGAAAGTTTAAAAGATACTTTATACAGGGTTGAAGTAATTGAAAGAAAGCTAAAAACAAAATTACTTACTACGGAAAATCGTGAAAGATTAGAAAACGAGTTAGAAGAAGTTAAAGAAGTCCTCAGAAGAAACGAAAAAAAATTACAGAGTTTAAGGAAAGAAAACTCCAAATCTTTTATGGTAGCGGCATGTTTGATTTTTCTATGTTTTCTTTTCTACGGAATATATTTGATGATTTTTGAGAACATTTAAGCTATGTATATATTATTAGAAGAGAAATATTGCAATATTAATTTGTTTTATAAATTTTATACATAATACAATTCATGACTTATCAATGAATGTGTCAAATTTTGTAAATATTAAATATTAAAAACACATTTTAAATTTGTATAGTTTACATGCAGCAATTTGCATGTTGTCTAATAATACATAATGTGCACATTAGGTAAATAAATAAATTAACATATTATGAGAACATCTAATTTTTCATGTAAAAGAAATTTTTATATATCAATTAATATAACAATCAAAATAAAGGCTTTTTTATTTCACTAGTTACTGCTTGTTTTAGATTGTTATTGCATGAATGTTTATTTTATATTGTAAATATGTATTTTTTCTATAAAATGCAATTTGGTACATTGAATTAGCAATATATAAAGAGAAGGAATGAATTATTTGAACTTAAAAGATTGTTAGATGGAATGGGTTTTGTGATTAGATTGTACTGTCTTCAGTTATTAAGTCATTAAGTCATACTGAGGTATCCCAGCTATACGACTGCGTATGTACTTGGCATGTGCTTCAACATCCAGAAAGCTGCCACGTACTGCAGGATCTTCTTTCATAGCAGTTTTCCATTCAAGCTATATCATATAAGCGTTTGTGTCAGAATTAAATATTATAGTATACTATTTTCCAATAATATTATATGTATTGTATTACCAGTCGCAAGAAACGTTCTCGAGGTATGACAAATTGTTCTCCCCGTATAATTCTTATCACATCTGCTCTTTCGCACCATGGCCATATCATAAAATCCAACATGCCAGGCTTGCTTCCTCCAAAAAAGGGAGTTCCTCTTTTTGCCAACTCTTGATCAAATAATTTTAAACCATTTAATGCATCATTAAATACATCTTGTTCTAATGTTGGGCCTGGATAAAATACCTACAAAGTAATAAATAAGTTTAAAATGTATAAATGTACACTTTATATATAAGGGATATATTCATCAATCAACATAAAGAATACCTTATACATAGTTGTTATTACTGTATTAAATCTATCAATTAATAATTTATCCTTAGCTTTTGCTAAAGGATTACTTGGATATAATTTATTTTGAGGATAGGCATCATCCAGATAATCAGCAATAATTAGGCTCTCGTATAGCGTTTCTTCTCCTTCTAATTCAATGCAAGGAACTTTATTCAAAGGGCTTTTTTCTATTAACCAGTCTGGCTTGTGCGTTAGATTCACATATACTACATCATATCTAAACAATATGTATAAAGAGATTATTATATATACATGAAAGTTCATAACATCAAATTATTACAGATATTTAACAATTATTTAACAAACTTGGAAATTGTTTCTCTATAAAAAGATAAACTTAATGCACCAAAAAATATAACTAAATAGTTTATATATTAGATTGTATTATACACATTAGATCCAAGAATAAAAATATAAAAAAATTATACATGTATAGAAACATGCACAATTATATATAAAAATTTTTTCTTGCAAAATACACTAAAGAAACTGACTATTATATAATATAAAAAAAATTTGTGCATCACGAGTATGCTTACGGAATTTGTTTGGCATCCAGCACCAGATGTATCCTCTGTGCGTATGGACAAAAACGCATACTGTACAAGCGTATTTTTCCAGGTACAAGGGGCAGAGGTACCGATCCTAAAAGAAAAAACTACGTTGTTAATTTACTGATACATTGCGTACAATTTTGTGTTAGTATAAATATTTTTTATACCGGTACTCAAGTGTTTTGCAGTCATCCTGATCCTCGTTATTAGTTGTCAAATGTCAGAAAGAGAGATTCCGTCTACCTACGTTCTAAATAACGCTTGACGTTATCCTTCAGTCAGGTGGAGGAATAAATATATCGATGACAGTACGAGGTCTCCTCTATACGAGGATATCACAGATATAGCATAGGAGAGAGAGAAAGAGATAGAATTTAATTGCTTTATCGCGGAGCACATGTACGCCTTCTATGTTCATTCATTGACTTCTCTCATCATTTTTCTCTTCTATTTGTCATTTTTTGATAAACGTCATACGATCATCAACAATGAGATACACGTCTAGAACTACGAAAATTTAAAAAAAATTCACCGGTTATTCCCGCCCTCTATATCGCATACAAGGTCGATAAAATTAGAGTTCTGTAATTATCCCACGTTTCTTGATAATTTACCGACAGTGGGGAGTATATAATTACATTTAGTACCGCTAGATGGCGCGTCGATTAATTTTCAGACGCTAGCAGAGACGATTCGTAACTTTGCACAGTTGCTTAGCAACCGGCGACGAACTCGGTCCTGTTCTGGAGTGCTGGTCCAGCAGTCGTCCTATATATTTCCTGAGTTTAAAGAAGATCGAAGATTTATTCGACAAGAAATAAGAAGAGAGGCAGAGATTAAAAGAGAGACGGGGAGAGTTTCCAGAAAGAAAGAGGAAATGATAAGAGGTAAGATTGCAAGAGAGAAAAGGTTATTAATAATAAAGGTTATTATTAATGAGAGATTAATACTCAATAGTAAGAGCTGGATAGTTCGAAAGACTACTGCTCACTCATATACTTCTTTTTTATTAAAAAGAAACATGTAATTAGAGAGGAAATAGCAAATGTTATTAATATAAAATGATACATGTAATAGAATGATTATAATTGAGTGATATATATGCGGGAGCAAGGACCTGCAAAAATTTGAGAATTGTGTTCGGCGCATTATATAAAATGGCGGACGACAAAGAAATGCGCGCGAGTATATGATATGAAAAAAGAATTCAATTTTTTTTTAACAATAAATTGAAAAGTTCAGAGTTCAGCCAGAATTGAGATGTACATTTCCCGATTTTAACGCGCTTTACATATTTTCTCACTTTTATCATAAAATAATATATTTTTTTCATAAATGAGGAAAAGATGGAATATAAAATTGTTTTCATACTTATTTTTAGCACATATAAAAAGGCGCGTATTAATTATTGTATCAAAATTGTTGCTTCTCTTTCTACAATTAATAAAATTAATATCTTTCTACAAGTAATAAAATTAAATAAGCATATAAAACATAATTCTCTCTCTTTATTTTTTATTGTAAAGTTTAATTTGCATAAGTAATAAGAATAACGCTTTTGTTGCAATATAATATTATTCCCGCGAACAATTTAATGAATGAAGAGCAAAACGGATAACTCATTTTCCGCGTCGAAGCCCGAGTAAGACACACGCGCGTCTCTGAACTTTTGACACGCGTCTGCTACAATGCATTTATTGCATTCAATGTATATGTATATATACATCTTGAAGTTGAGTATAATATACACAAGAAGTTAGATATGGAGCGGGGGCGGTTTTGCTTATACGGCTGGAGGAGCGTGTATATTTTATATAAGTGGAGGCGGTGTTGATAGTGGCGTTGAAGAAGGGTACACACAAAGGTAAGAGTCGATGATGGAGAAATGGGTATATACGGAGGTGGCGTAGGTGCTAGGTAGAACTCGTGGCAGCTAGTGTTGCACAAAATATCACGAAGAGAGAGAGAGAGAGAGGAGAGACCGGGGGTGGAAGAGAAAGAGAGAAAATGTGTAAGGGGTGAAACGCGAGGTGGAAGAGGATGTGGAGGAACGGCGCGGGCGCTGATTGGTAGCAGAATCGATTAGCCAAGCCGAGCTAAACCTCCGGTACCGCGGCATGGTTCGGCGTGGCGACGCCGCGAATTTCCCGAATGGGGGTTTCCCGTTGGGGCGGACCTCGCCGAACCTCGTAGAACACCCTCTCGGCCCTCTTCTCCATGGCAACCCGACCAATTCGCCAACCGCCGGCAACCAAGACTGACCTACCGTGTGTTGCTCGGCTTATTTTTCTCTCCTATCTTGCCTCCACATATACCTCTTCCCTTTCCTCTTCCTCGTCCTTTTCCACCTCCTCCATCGCGCTGCAACTTCGTTCTTTGTGTCTCCGCGCCAGAGGACCTTTTGTCTTGTTTTTTTTTTCTCTCGGTTTCGTTTACGCACACGTAAGGGATAGGAGCGAGAGAGAATAACTGCAAAACCTTCCCTTCTTTTTCTTTTTTTTTTTTTTTTTTTGATTTTTTCTTTGATTGCTTTTTCTGATTTTCCCTCTCTCTCTTCGATTAAATAGATGTATGTTTCTTTCGTATCACGATCAAGAAGGCAAACGTAAATGCATCGAGAAATGGGAACCACATTGATTTTGCCAACGACTGATACAACCCCGTCGGCACGTTTAATTAGAACATGGCGACTTTAATACAAGCGCACGACAACAAGAACAACAACAGCGCTCCCCCAATTTCCCGGATCGCGATTCTCGCGATTCTCATCTCTATTCCGTTGTGCCTTCTCCAGTTCCGTTATCACGCTAACGTCGAGAAACCGTGTTCTTCGATCTTTCGAGAGGGGGATGTAGGGAGGATCGCTTATCTACCTAATCTAACGCGTTCTACGCTAGGTGCCCGGACACACATCCCTCGTTTCGTCCACTCATCCATCACTGTCGTCGTCATCGTCATCATAGTCATCGTAGCTATTATTATTATTCGTCTCCATTCTCGAGACGAATCACGCCCGCTCGAACACACACACACACGCGCGAATCTTGTATACAGACACACACATACATATTACATACATGCACGACAGCCTCTCTTCGTCGCTCATTCTCTCGCTAAGACTAAATTTTCTACACGCCTACGCTACACATGAAAACACCCTATCTACATGAGCGCCCTTCACGCTCACGACCCGTCCGGACCGATCCGGAAACTGCTGGATAATCATCGTTCCCCGTCGCGGTGCTGATTGCACGATCGGTCCCACGGGCCGCGCCGAGGGCCGCGCTAATCGCTTAAAATTACTCTAGGAATGCTTAGGGTCTCACTTACGAGTAGTATGGTACACATCTTAAGGAGTTACGCTTTCTTCGACACAAGGTACGCCTTTTTTTGCGGGGACGGACTGCCGACACGCGTTCAATCGATGAAGAAAATGCGTTGACTATCTTCGCAAAGGAAAAATCTCTTCCCGCGCTTTTCCGGAATTTTATACCGGATCTTATTTCATCTTTAATGCGTTTCTGGTTTTTAGAAACTTTTATATGTATTACGATATTCACGTTGTTTGAGAAAAAAGTAGTGATAAGCAATCAGCAATGAAGTAAAAGTTTGCATATTATCAATTTATGATTTACTTATAAATCGAAATTTCACTATTTATCCTGATCTAATGCGCTTATAATGAATATCATATGTTTAACAAATTCTCTTCTTTTATTTTATTTTATATAATTTATTCAAAATGTAATTCTGTATCACTATCTGTTTAAATGCTTTAAGTCTTTGTACTTTTAATTTTTTATTTAATTTAATTTCAATTTATGCATTGTGTTAAAGAAATTAGTTTTAAAATAAGAAAATGACAAAAAGTTAAACATGAAATTAAATAGATTTATATGAATCACAAATAAAAATATTTTCCTTAAATTCGTTAAATATTATGTTTTTAAATAATCTTCATTAACTATCGCATGCGACAGTTCAACCGATAGATCTTCAAATTATTTTGTTCCCAAGATTGATAATATTAAAGTATAATTTACGAACTTATCGGTAGATTTCGAATAAATTAATATCAAAAAGAGATTGAATGATAATTTTTTTTCTTTCTTGAGAAATCTACAATATGCACAACTTTTTCTATGAATATCTCAATGTTAAATAGACAGATTCAATGTTCTGATATATTCAACGTGTAATTATTTTCAAATTATATATCGTAGGACTCCTTTTTCTTTTTCGAGAAATTAGATTAGAATCAACTGTAATACGACAACCTTTGCTCCGAATTACATCACGCATTTACACATATGCTCCGTTTGATCAGAATCGAATTCGGTTTCGGCAATCCATCCTTTATATCGACATGGGTAGAGCAGCCACATATCTCAACGTGATTCTAAAAAGGATGGCGTAAAAGTTCGATTCTGATTGCGTGTGCCGTCGATTGATATGACTTAAACGTTGTACTTTTGTGATTATCGTCTACATATCTCACGATGACGGATGATGAAGGTGTACGGTAACGCGGTTTCGTTGTAAAATTACGTCAAAGGAACGAGCGCGAATCACGCTTAAGCGAACCACCGACCACATATGCTGATGAATACACGTGGCCGTATAAACGCTATATGCGCTCGATAATCGTTTCTCGCACGCTCGATTCGTTCCTATGTAGCGTCTCTACCCATTTCTCTCTCACGTAACAAATAAGTTAAAAGAATTTATGATACATGGGGTATTTTATTAGCCTTGGTTTGAATCGAACATGAGCGCATTCCGTGAATCAGCAAGGTCTCGTTTGAAATTGAGATACACTACTTGCGTAAACGTGAAGGGTGACGCGTTTTTTCTTTGATGTATACGTATATGTACACATGTCCGACTCAACCCAAACGCCGACAATGCTCGTGAAATTTTGTCGGCTCCTTGCATTTGTGTACGAGTTTTCCTTTTGGACCAAACGACTTCGCATACTTCAGTTTACCGTCGTGCGATCATTTATTATTTTGTTCTCGGAAATAAAATAATCTCGCAAATGCGCTCTCTTAGATAAAGAAACATGAAATGCATGACTAGATAAGAAGAAAAATGAATATTAAAGAACGAAAGATAATAAAGACATACAAGATTTTGCTAACAAAGTTTCGCTCAATTACGTGCTCTATATCATTCACTTAATTACTTAATATAATACTTGCAAATTATTAACAACTAATTTTCTTTGGTATAGACGTTTGGCTAGAAATTATTAGAATTTATTTCATTTATCTCACATTAAACGCATAAGAGTTTCGTATATCAGAAAATTTTCGAGGGATTCGCGCGCTTTTCTTAACAAAGAGTGACACAGTAAACGGTAAAAAGATTCATGCGAATTATCTCACGGACGCACACACCCTGTACTAACGTAATGCATTATATTGTATATGTACAACGTTCTTACAATAATATTTTTTTGAGGCGCACCCCATCGGCCGCGGCGAATCAGAGTCTGTAAAATACTCATTACGTAAAATCGTCGCCTTTATATATAGGCGGTGCATAAATGATCACTGATTACGACGCGTTGCTTAGGTATTGCATCTTGAAAATTTTACGACAATATATTGCACACTCTATTGGAGCGACTGTATCGCACGGATTTAGATATTAAATCTGTCCAAACGCGTCTTAATGGTCAATGTTTCACACGGAAATATATTCCGCGCACACACATATCTTCCTTTATTTAAATACTTAACAGATAAATACAAAGAAACTTGCATTATATAAAATTTAAAAAAACTACTATGTTTATTTCATTGTCAAATGTTTGTGTCATAAGTAGCAGAAGAAAATTTCAGAACATAAATTTTGTTCCCACAAACTTTTTATCTTAAATCTTCTATTAAATAATTGTTTTAATAGAATTTGAATTTGTTGTTATTAGAGTTATCAAAAGTCTTATTTATAGAGTTTTCTAATAAAAAACGTATTATATCATTAATAAATCCTGTACACGCGTCGCCCCCCTGGATGTCTGTTACTTTTTTCTTACTATTTCGTGATTGTCGTTTACTACTTACGCGTCGATTATAAAGCTGTATCTACTTGTGGTCGACAACTTACGGTTGTACATAACTATTCATCAGTGTTGGTCGGTGCAAATAATGTATTTCCTTCGGGGTTTCGATATAAATAATCTACGAATTAGGCTTAAAAAAGAAAAAAAGGGAAACAAACTTGTGAAATCGCCTATGTTCGCATTTATTAAAAATATAATAATTGCTTTGAAAATTCGTGAAAAAAAGACAATAGCGACCATAAGCGAATATACGCGGAATGGACAGATTCGTGCAAATACCTGAAGCAATGTGCGATCCGAGCCTCCGGGGTTGGCCGGGGAGAAATAAGGGTGTAATTTACGATTACGCACGTCGTCATCGACAACGTGGCAGCAACGGCTCGTACTCTTTCGATAGAAATGTTTCAACGCGGCGTGCCCAGGGCACCCCAGTGCTCGGCGGCGGGTCATGCGTAATGCGGATAGGTGCCGAGATGAGGTGGCACATGTCCGGAGGCCGTATGATGGCCGGCATACAAGTTGGCCCCCGGGCTCGTCGACCAGTAGCTCGACGCCGATTGAAAGAGGCCACCGGGTACGGAAACCGAGACCGACGCCGCCGGCGGCGGCATCAGGTTCAGCTTGGCATGACCGTAACCGGACATGAACAACTCGCTTTGGTACTTGTACGCCGCCGGATCGGCCGCGGCCGGCTGCGTCGCGGCCGCCAACCCCTGGAAATCGAACTTGTACGCGTACCTCTTGCCGTGCACCTTCGTCATGATATTCTTGTCGTAATAATACCTGCAAGCAGACCGAGCCTCCGTTCTGATTTCCCTCCACGATGAGCAATATATAATCGAATCTATATATATTTCTAGAGATTAATATTTCCGCGAGCTCTTCTAAGCAAAAATTTAGCTTGATACAGAAAAAAATATAATGTTAAAAAAATTAATATATTTATGTGACGATAAACCAATATAATATATTGTCTCTCAAATGTTGCATTATATATACAAAAACATTCCGCATTAAAAAAATACTGAATTTTAAGCTGAACATCTTCAACTTGGATGTTAAAAATGAGTCTATTCGCCTGTTCAGTAGTTCTTACACGGTGAACGAAGGGACGTCAAAAAGAGCAATCGCGTAATATAATCAGTGGATCTGATGGAAAAATAATAGCCGCGTCTACCATCGGTTTGACTGTCGGTGATTGAAATTTCTCCCCCGCGTTCGCCATCCCCTTCTCCCCCGAATCCCGACGACACCGACACATGCACGCGCGCATGGAACATCCGATCGTACATACATATATATACCGAATGAATTTACTTTCTCCCCGAAACTTCGTCAAAACATAAATGATGGCTCGTTAATGGCTTTTCCATTTGACGTTTGTAGAAAAAAATGCACCGCGTCGGGATCGTGAACGCGAACGTCCCGGCAGGAGAAACTCATGCAATCATCACCTCATCAGAGACTCACCTCAGAGCCCTCGACAATTTGTCGTAATTCATATTAGGCTTAGACTTCCTCTCGCCCCATCGTCTCGCCACCTCATCGGGATCGGTCAACTTGAATTCGCCGTTAGTTCCTTCCCAAGTGATGCACGCGGCATTACTCGAGTCCGACAGAAGCTCGAGTAGAAACTGCCAGAGTTGTATCTGACCGGAACCGGAGCTCGCGAGCCGACTGCTCGTCGCCCCGAACATTTGGTAAGGATCTGCTGACCACAATAAATTCAGTACTTTGTCACAATTCTCACAATATTGTATTATTATATTATTTAATTAACATATGTGATAAATATATGTATCTCGTAATTCTATTATATACACAGAGCAAATTTTCTCTAAGAATTTTCAGAAAATCATGATAATTGTGAGACAACATGGAAAAATTTTATAAGAGTTTTCTCTGATTAAATATTTACCACAAAAAATAAAATTTGCCATAAAAATATTAATACATACATAGCAAATTTTATTATGTACATAGTAAAATTAATCGAACATATTTTATATTTTATTGTGGTAGATATTAATATTTTTATTAAGTAGTGTAAGTATTGATCAAAGAAATTTTTCCAATATATCATATTGCCCCACGATTACCAAGATTTTCAGGGTAAATTCTAAGAAAAAATTCTCTCTGTATATGAGATCAAAAATATCGATGCAAATATAGTTTTTGTTCTTTATTCTGAGAATTTTTAGTAAAAGATTTTTATAGGAATTTTTGTAATAACCATTTTGCGCAACAACAAATGAAAAATTCCTCGAAATTACAAATTGCAATAACAGAGATGAATTTGATTATTTTTGATCTTATTGTTGCTTCTCCCCTCTGTAATATTTCGTTGATTACGATTAAAGCATTTAGCGAAATATATAAATATGCGATTTGTGTACCGATAAACATTAATTTTCATATTGCAAGAGTGTAAACAATGAAATTTTTCACAGTTTCACGTAGAATATACCTATCCATTACACGGTTGTTTTTCAAGGGTCTCTGTATCGCCCTTTAAAAGCTTTACAATGCGTCATCACCGACGCTCAGACATGGAGGGCCCTACAGACGTACAAAAGAACATAATCGCAACCCTACAATAGAATAGAATTCATTTGGATCATAATAATTTCAATTTGAGAAACTATACTGACAGAGTGGCTTAAAGGGTGACGCGAGTGTCTTCTAAACCTTCAAAGTCGTACAATTCAATATATCGATTTTTATTGTCACGAGAAATGCAACGTGAGAGAAAATACAATAATTTATATAGAAAAACCGCAAACCATTATTTTCAAAACTTTATAATCAGAATTTTTATTCTCTAAAGTACTCTGAATGTAAAACGATAAAAAATGAAAACATGAATGAAATAAGTACATTAAAAATTATGTATTTTAGAATTATATAACATTTTATATTTTCTGTTTTGTTAATAAATACAAGTATAGAGGAAATATTTTTGTATTTACAGATGACGAGAAACTTTCCGGGAAATTTGCATTAACAATATCAATTTGAGAAACTATACTGACAGAGTGGCTTAAACTAATTTAACTCTAATTAATATGCGCGAGGTTGCCTCAATTTCGCGCGAAAGAAAAATGTAACAGACTTTATAAGGAAGAGGGTCAAAATGTCCCGATTTAATGACTTTCACGGTCTGAAAGAAGAGTCCCAGCACAAGAACTCGAAGATGGACCCCATAAAAATACAAGCCGAGCGATTATGAGAGAGGGGACAGACGCGGATGATGGGGACGGATTCCGAATTGCCGGACCTCAAAGGTCGTTTCGCCCGATGAATTCGCTGAATGCGTGCCGTAGTGATCGCCTTTCGATCGAACAGTAATTCACTTACAAGTTAATAATGGGAAGGGGCGCGGTACACCCATTTATCTGCCGAGAACGAGGGAACCGGCTGGGAGAAATACTGAGATGCGACTACGCCCAAGGATTCCAGGCTCTTTTCTCGTCGCGACTCGAGACTCTGAGGAATCGATGATGCGCAAAGTAACAGTGACCTTGTTTAACCATCATGTAAGTGAAGCCTTTCTTTTATTTTTTTATATTTAGACGATTTATAATTTATATTGTAATTCGGAATTTAATATTCTACGTATAATTTTATTGATAAAAAACGCTTGTAAAAAACGTTTATATCAAATGTCTATAAAACTAGAATTTTTGCAAATAGAAATTATGAGGCTTATGTAATGATATGATAATTATATTTATGCATACTGTTTATATAAAATTCAATTCCGAATTATATATATATATATATATATATATATATATCATCTAAAATTTAAAAGACTATACTGCCAGTGTTACGTTCATGTAATACGTACATGAATGTTTTTTGAAATTTGAAAAATTTCATATTTTAAACAATTTATTAAACTGATACATATTCGAATTTATTAACTTTTATTTAATTAGCAAGTTTGCGAATAAAATTATTTATAATATAATATATTATGCATACCTATAATATACTATGCATAAATGTGGCACGAAAGTCTTGCTTCTATTTTTTTATATACAGTATAAATATGAAAAAACAGTTAATTCTTTAATTTAATAAATAATGATCAAATATATATAATAATATTTTTATTTATGATTTTGCGTCTCTTAATATTGATTTATTCTTTTTATCGCTTTCAAACTTTCGTGAAATACTATAATAGTATTTTTACTGAACATAATTTAATAAACATTTTGTCACACATCTGATTTTCGGATGCGCGATATCGTAGATGAAATTGTAGATATAATAGGCTATATTTTGAGCAATATACGACACTTTCTATTAATATGTGATTTTCTTATCTTTGCAAATCAATTTCTTATGTTATAATAATTTATCGAGAGTGACACCTTTCTTTGGAATCTATTTTGAATATTGAACTATATATGAGGGTAGCACTTTAACTTCTCAAAAATATCTACCTACTACATACCAGGCTGCCTGAGATGGCTGTGCGTGTCCAATGCTGTCTTTGATAAGCTGCTTCCATAGCCTGAAACACAATGTTTAACATGCATTTATTACTTTTCATTAAAATTTTATAAACTAAAACGTATATCTAACAAATTACGGAATAATGAAAGAAATAAAATTGTGCGCATTTTAAGATAAAATAGAGAATTATACAGTATAATTTATCGCATTCTTCATCGTGTGTGTGAAGCTAGTATATTATTTAACGGAAGACAATAAATAATTGAGAGTACTTTATTTTCAATATTTGTAAAATTTTTGATAGTTTAAACAAATAGTTCTAGCGATTAAAACAAAGCGATTAAAACAAAATGATTAAAGACAAATTGATATGTCAATTTCATGCAGCATATCACTTTGTCCTACGGCATTTTCCTTATTATTAGTAATCAGAATTAAACTTTATAGTGCTACATGAATTCTAAAAAGAATTATGTCTTCTAAGAACAACAAAATTAATAAATATTAAAATATAAAGCTATAAAATATAGATAATCGGATATCTACATTGAAAAACATTATTGATTTCAAATAAATATTTTTATTTAAATAGTACCATTGACACCATTTGTTTGATATTAATAATATTGATTTGTCGTAAAAAATACTTATTTGATATAAGAAATCCTTTTGCATAACAGATAAATATTTACTAGTTTCAAACAAATGTGTGAATGACACTACTGAAATAAATATTTATTTGAAATTAATAGTTTTTTTTTCAGTGCATATTTATAGATATTGAGATGAGACGCTAGTCAATTTTCAAGAATTATATTTATTCTGAAGTTATATTTTTTGAATTATTATGTTCGAAAGAATTCCTTTTGAGTTTTATTAATTATTAATATTAAATCATGTATAGTATCGTGCGAATAGCTTCAGTGCCTCGATTATTACCGAAACGCCGCGAGTACCAGGCAGTTTGAGCTGCGTTCCGCTGTGATTAATTAGTAAGCATAATTGTTTGTAACCTTTGTATTACAATATTTATTAATTGCATATCATTATTGTAACATTCATATGTAATTGTAACTGTTCGAATTGCATATTTCGCGAGAAATTCAATGCAAAATCTCTTGCCAATGGTCCTAACTTAATCTATTTTCTGCGCGCGCGAATGTGTTGCGATCCGTGGATACATATTTATCATTAATTCTAGCTCACATATTTACATTATGTATATGTGAAATAATAAGATTATTCTAATATATGTATTATATTTGTTCACAGATAATGTGCGCGAAATACGCGTGCGATTCACGCGTCGTGTCGGGAGTGCCGTGTAAAGTGTCGCGCGTCGAGAGTGCCGTGTAAAATTTCGCGTTTCGGGAATGCCGTGTAAAGTGTCGGGCGATCGTAATTATTTGTATTTTCGCGAGTGTCATGAGTGCTTCGATGGACCAAGAGAGGAGGAGGAGGCTCGGGGAGGCATCGGGCGACAGTGGAGCAACTGTGAGGTATGCAAAATAAAAATAAAAAAATTACGCACGCACACACACACACACACACACACACACATGTATATACATAATTTGAATATTTTGTTTTCAGATCAATGTGCTGTGAACTATTGTACAACCCCGCTACTGCCAGCATCGGTGAGTGAAAAATGGGTTTTTTATACCATTTCTATAGCGGTAACCGGAGTGTATAAAGCGTCTCATTTCGTGGAAATTCATAAATAATTGAGTTCTATATTTTCAATAGTTACAGAATTTTTGATAATTCAACAAATAGTTTTTGCGATTAAACAAAAAAAATACCTAAGAAATTGATATGTCAATTTCACGCAACTTTGTCCTACGACATTTTCCTTATCAATAATTGTTCAAACTTAAAAGATTTATAGTTCTACAAGATTTCTGAGAAAAGTTCTGTCTTCTAAAAATAAAAAATATTAATTAAAACTGAGTAAACACGAGCAAATCTCTTGAACATTTTGAAGTAAAACGCCGCATGATTTTCGACAATTTTGCTTATTAGGAAATAATTCTGAAAATAGTTCTGAGCATGCTTTTTTTAAAGAGTTCTGATGGAAATAATTAAAACTTTTTTATAGAAATAAAATAAATAATTCGCAAACTTTTAAACAATTATTTTATAACTATATTTATAATCTTCCACGAAATGATATGCTAGTTTCACACACACTTCTCCATCATCTACGAATTTTTTGAGACATTATGTCTCATAATTATTATCTATTGAAAGAGAGACAGCAAATGATTTCCGAGCGTTGACGATATGTATATAAGGTGGAGAGAGAAAATTCTGATCGCGGGAGACGAAAGTCATCGGTCCGATTGCCGAAGATGAAAAAGCACAAACTCGGTCGAGCGTTAGAATCCGTTAGAGAGGATTTCCGTGTAGGCAAACACACGGGGCTGAGTGCTACGTGTACGTTTTCTCTCTCCCCGTTCTCGTTTCGTCACCGTCGTCCCATAGCGTAGGCCTCCTCTCCTTGCCTTATCGTATGAATTCCCTTTCCTCGTGCGAGGCCCGACGGTCACGTTCACGTACGGACGTGTGCAATCTGTTTAAGGGCACAATGCCCCTTAATTTCGGCTCGTTATACGCCCGAAGGCGATAGTCCGCAAAGGTCAGTCGACTGGCTCTTCGAAAACTCATGGAATTGCAATTGTTTCTAAATTGGCTCGAAGACTACTTACGCATTATTACATTAGCACGCCTGAACGCGCATTTTATTTATATTTTCTCAACTTTATTCTTTTTATCTGTAATTCAATCATTTTTCGATATTAAAATCATTAGTTGAAACGGCTTTATTAATTACTTATATGCTGCTTTATTTCTTTTGTGAATTATATTGCGTTATATTGCAAATATTTCATGTGCCACTCTTTATATGTCAAGTGTATATAAAATTGCACATATATTAAGCTACTTAAAGAGATAATTTTCTCTTAGAATTTACCCTGAAAATCATATCCTAGCAATTGTGAGACAATTGTAGTCTTGGAAGAATTTTATAAGAATTTCTCTGATTAATATTTACTTATTTACCACAATAAAAATATTAATATCTTATTGTGGTAAATATTAATCAGCGAAATTCTTATAAAAGTCTTTCAATATCATATTGTCCCACGATTACCATAATTTTCAGGGTAAATTCTAAAAGAAAATTCTCTCTGTGTACACTAAAAAAATTGTTAACTCGACTAAACCTTTTAACCAAATATTATTTCGTTAGTTGAACCTATAAAAATATTTAAATTAAAATGTAACATATTAAATCTAACAAAACGTATATTTGACTTAAATACTAATATATATGTTCTTTAATTAACAAAATAGTAATTTAGTTGAAAGGTTTAGTCAAGTTAACAAATTTTTTCCCCAGTGTATATAACATCCTGAAAAGAATACATCATCACGTAAGTACACATCGCATAAACTCTAACTTTACAGAAAAATTATAAATTCTTCTTTCTTTCTTTCTCCACGAATTCTCCGATCAATTTAAAGTCGATTTTTTGTCAATAGTTAAAAGATTTTGAGAGATACCAATATTTTTCATTTATAAAGATTTGAAAAAATAAGGGACTTTTATGGCATTAAATTTCCAACAATTTTTAGGGTATTAAACATAAACAGATCAGATTTCAATTTTTGTAACAGTGAGTAAAGTTGAACAAAAAATATATTATCTCAGATAAAATTAGCTTTATTTCAGATTAGAAATTTAAAAAATTCTCAATTGCAAAATTTTCTGATCAATCTATAAATTGTAAAATGCATTCTCTCTATTCTATTCTCGCCAATATCGATAATAATTTGCGAGGATCAATACAATCGAGATCCCCCGCAGCGACAACACTTTCGACACGCCGTCGCGTCGGAATGTAGCGAGCCCCATGGGGCAGATGCTACCTTTAAATAGCAGTCGGTGTCCGCTGTGTTAAACAATCTGATTTTGCCTCTGATTGGGAAGCGGGTTCGGCCTTGGACGAGGGTTTTGGGCTGAGGGGACCAGACCTTTTCTCTCTCTCTCTCTCTCTCTCTCTCTACGGGTCGTATAGGGTCCGCCGCAATCAGTGTAGCCGCGGGGCTACGAGCCGTCGCCCACGTTCGTTTTTCTAACGCAAGCTCCGTGATCGAGAACCCATCGACAGTGTGTATAGCGGATGTCACTGACGATAACACGATCAGATTTTCGGCGTAGATTACAGGCAGCGTGAACTCCGTTGAATTACATGAACCTGTCAATCGTCACTATTTCTGACAGAAAGTTATACCTATGAAATCTCTCACAACTATCAAATTATATTTTTTCTCCACGAATTCTCCGATCAATTTAAAGTCGATTTTTTGTCAATAGTTAAAAGATTTTGAGAGATACCAATAGTTTTCATTTATAAAGATTTGAAAAAATAAGGGATTTTTATGGCATTAAATTTCCAACAATTTTTAGGGTATTAAGCATAAACAGATCAGATTTCAATTTTTGTAACAGTGAGTAAAGTTGAACAAAGAATATATTATCTCAGATAAAATTAGCTTTATTTCAGATTAGAAATTTAAAAAATTCTCAATTGCAAAATTTTCTGATCAATATTTTGTTTTGAAACATTCAATTTTTAATTAGTTTATTGCATAAGAAAACAAAATACTCGTTTCAGAAATCTTCAATAATTTTTCTTGAGTAATATTATATAACTTAAATAAAATTATAATTTTTACTATAGTATTTTGTATAAAACAATTTTTGAATAAACAAATATATATTTTTTAAATAATACATGGAAAGTATTTTCTCTTAAAATTTAAAGTCTAAAAATTTACCCAAAAATCATGATAATCGTAGGACAATATGGTATTGGAAGAATTTTAATAACAATTTCTTTGATTAATATTTACCACAATAAGATATAATATTTTTATCGTAGTAAATATTAATCAGAAAAAACTTTTATAAAATTCTTCGAATACCATATTGTTCCATGATTTTCAGAGTAAATTCTATTAGAAAATTCTCTCTGTATAGCAATCATATATTGAAAAAAACTACAATATTAATCAGAGAGTAAATTATTTACTCTACAATAAAATATTTTGAAAATGCAGAGAATGCTTTGCAAAACAATTGGGAAACTAATATACAAAAGATACATAAGCAATTATTTGAATCACTCATACGCATCGCTAAAAATAAGAAAAGTGAGCCATGAGAAATTCTTTTAAGCATTGTTTTTATAGATCGATTTTGCGTATTGGACCTGTATGATTCGTCTAACGTCACCTCGAATCGACGAACGTGCACCCATTGTCGCGAGTATATCTGCGCATTCACGAGCAATTACGTGGGGCGGGGTAATCCCGTTAGGCGGCATGCAGCTTCCTCGAGGGAGGATCAAAGAACCCGTCGTCATTCCGTGCTGCTGCACTCTTTGGTAGCCTCGGACGCGCACAATGCCATTCGGCGTCGCGACGCCGAAAAGAAGGGAGAATCTCGGCGCCCCCGACTTGGAGAAACTTTGGGCACGTTCCAACAAACACACCGACGCGCCTGAGTCCTCTCGTTTGTTTCAATCGTTTCCCCGTATATATAGTATCGAGATATCGTTCCGCCACGCTAATTTCGAAATGTTGCCGAACCCAGACTGGCATCCAAATTGCTTTGGGATTTTTATAAACCGTGTCTTCTCGATACGGATAAAAATAGAATGTAAATGGTACGTTTCGCGAAATAAAGTTTTGTCGGTGTTTACTTCAATACGTTGAAAGTGGAGCAATGTCATTTTTTTATTATCAAAATTAAAGAAAGGAAACATTTACAATCTAGGATGACTAATTTAAATTTCATTGTTGAAATCTTATTATACATATGCATAAATCTCCCTCTCTCTTTTACGGTTTAAATTTTCGTAACTTATTAAGACAAATAATTAGAACAATTCCGATTTGTGTTAAAATATTTTCATTCATGGCTTTTATTCATTCTAGACGGGCAATTCGTTGAATTATGTATATGTTAGAGATCTATTGTCTTAAATGGTACTGACTCATACCCAGTCGTTTCGGCTGGCGGGCCTATTTCGGACATAAATCATATGTTGCCGAGAACGCGGTGCGTAATAATGAGCAAGCGAGCGTAAAACACGCTAAGCCTTGACCATAGAGAGCGAGAGAAAGCGAGTGTAAGAGAGCTACGTGTTAGATAAAAGAGACTACACCTATGTAGGTGCAGGGGTTTAAAATCAGAGGAAGTATTTTATTTTTCACGTCGTTCCTGCCGACGTTCCGCTACGCTCGTCGGAAATGTGCTGTGGAATGCGAACATTTTTTTGTGCCGTTTCGTGTACCAATGCGAGATCGCGTGTATTATACAGAGATCTTGTTATGTATGCGATAAAAGATATTTTCGTAAAGCAAGCAAAATCGAAAGCACACACGAAGGAAACGAACGATAAAGTAGTATAAATCAGTTTCGCAGAAAATAGAATTAAAACTTTTCTTATTTATACATAATGAATTTAATAAGCATAATTTTTATAAAGACCATTTTATATAGGTAGTAAACATGAATGTAGTCGAATTTAAGTAAGAAGCAAATCACAGCAAATATTCTTAGAAA